CGTTCAGTGTGGCCTAGATGCTCAGCAGAAAGGTCTGTTTCTTAGATAAAATGTGTAATTCATTTAAATTGTTTAATATTTATTACGTATCGAGAATAAAGTTTGTCTAAGTTATAATGTTTTACAACGGAAGTTTTGATTGAAGGAAATTGAAAAAATTACCAAAGTGAATAAACATTAAAATTACATAAAACCAGGTTTCATATCCTTTCATTTCTCTCATATTTTCATGAAAAGAGTGTTAAGTTTCTCACTAATTTGATAAAGGACTATTACGTAGGTTACCTAAAGCATCAATATCCTTGAGAAAAGAGGAATTGTAATTGAAAGAAAAATATGCTGGGTTGCGATACTTTCTAACCTGGTGGGAGGAGGATTAACTTTAACAAAGCAACGCAAAAATTAAACTATTTTGTATTAGTATGTTCGTCACGTGTTGAGTATCATTTTCTCTTTTTCCGTTTATGAAAGCGACGACTATAATATTGTATAATTGAATTATCTTCTTCAGTGTTTGTATTTTGCTATCACTGGTTAACTTAATCAAGTTTATAAGGCAATTCAATCTAAAATTGTATTAAAGTCTCATTTTATTTTTCTCTTTCTTTTCTTCTCTTTTTCTACGATATCAGCTTGTAGAATGATTTTAATCAATGCCTACATAGTTTGTGTAATATACATATGCATTCATAATATATTATATGTAAGTGTAGTGCTGAAGATCTTTTTCAATTAACATCCAAGAATTGGTACAATAATAGAATTGAGCAGCTAGCAAGTTTTTTACTGAACGAAAATTTAATTAAGGGATTTTGGAAAATAACAAAATAAAATGTTTTAATACCATAGTTTTGTTTATTGGACACAATCCTCTGTTATCTAAAACTAATAATATTGCCAACTTCTGGTTCAAAATTATGTATTTCCATGGTTAAAGAGTATTCAATTGGAAAAAATGGAGAAAAGGTGTTTATTTACAAAATGAATAGTCTTCATGTTTACTATTGTTAAGCAAATCAGTTATTAAAAATGAAAATTACCATTTGTTTGTTTTTTGGTTTGTATTTTCTATTTTGTTTTATCCAATTAACAAGAACATATCGCATAATTTAATTACAATTTACAGAGTAAGTATAAATTATAAATATTCCTATGCATTTTTGATCAAATATATAAGTTCATACAGTTATACTGGATATTAGATTTTCCAGAAACAATATCATTCCTGGTCTTTAATGCCTTTTGCTATACAGTTAAATTATCGAAGCATGTCATTAATTATTAGGTTTTCCAATGCAATTAACGTATTAATTTTTTTTTGCTGTTTTGTTTTGCTATCTACATAGAAGATTGAGAATTAGTGATAGGTGCTTTTAGGGTGTAGAAAAGTTTCTCTCTCCAATAAGAAGAGAGGAAATAAAAAGTGAGAATTATTATGGGAACCATTTCCAATATACAACCATTTTTCTCTCTAATTCTACAGATCTATTAGCAATACGTAAGCCGTCCCGAAGGCCAGGAATAGTGCTGATCGAGGGTAGCTAGAGATATACCCCCTGTGGTTCATTCAATGTGGTATAAAAGAATTTAAGAAAACTTAGATATCTCCTGTACACAATGTATATAAAATAATGTTTGATACCCTAGAAGTTCAATATAAGTATTTCCGAAGTCGTGAGGTGTGCCGTATAAACGCATGGAGGAAAAAATGTGAATTTCTCTCGCTCTCTGCGAACATAATAAAAAGTTAAAATCTGAACAAGTTGTATCGTCTCGTTCAGTGTGGCCTAGATGCTCAGCAGAAAGGTCTGTTTCGACCCTTTAATAAAAATAAAATAAAATTTAGTTCGGCTTTTTAGCCAAAAGCTAGGCTGGCTTGTTTAAGCGACCGAAAGACCTTACGACGCATCCCCGCAACCCAAGTTTCGCAACGCCCAGCGGAATAAACTTTATCTTTTGGTTTTTGTTTCAAATATAGTAAAAAAGGATGGAATAAACACTTGGCTCCAAATAACGGCCTGCTATTCTGCGATGAAGTTGGAGTTTATTACTGTGAAATGGAAGGGTGTTGTTTAACACCGCGACGACTGATATGGAGTATTCTGGAAATGAGTTTGTGACATCAGGGGAGCAAAAGAAAGTTATTACTTAGAATCCAGACGGGTTCCAACCCGACCGAAGACATCTCGTACTCTGAGGATTGTCCTGACCTTTATGTTTTTATTGGGTGATTAAGGGATACCAGGGTTAAAGGAGTATAGAGCACACCGACTCCATGTAGTCTGCGGTGCGCTGGTGAGTCTTCAAATACGCTGCCTGTATACATATTTATGATTTTGGGTCTATTTGATAGTGGTCAATCCGAGATACAATAAATTGGGTATATTACAAACAATGTGCATGTGTTTACTGCATTTATTCAAGCAAATTTAGACAAATTGTGAAAAATACAAAATTTTTCATTGGATTTTTGAAGTACTAAACCATGTGGATGTTTACAGCTTACAAAAATTAGACGGATGCTGCGTAGGGGTAGTACTGGTAGGGGTAGTACTGCTGACCGGTAGGGTAGGGGAAGTAGTGTTGACCAGTAGGATAGGGGTAGTATTGTTGTCCTGCAGGGAAAGGAGTGTACTGGTGGCCTTTAGGGTAGGAATAGGAGTGGCGGCTGGTCTGGTAGAACTCAAATGGGTATTTGTATCCTTGTTGGACACCATGGTATTCTGGATAATTGAAGCTTTCGAAGTTTTGATAAAATGGGTTGACATGCGGGTATGACTTGCGGAACCCAGCCTGGTAGTACGGTTGGTAGTAAAACTGGGGGAAGGCCTTTTTGGTAAAGGGGCGATCATATGCTGTGTAATCGAAGTCTCCTGACTTGTAGGTCTCAGGAACGACTCCACTACGAAGGAATGGAACATCAGCGACAGGGTATTCCAGGCCGGATCCTACTCCTTCCACAACGTGATGACCGCTAAAATTGACAGTTCAATAATTTTTTTAAATGTTTTTGTAAGGAATACTTATCTTTGTTAAGCAATAAAGAGAAAATTGTAGTTTCATTATAAAAATCAATTGTACAAATTAAAACAAAAGGATACACTATATTAAATTTTATCCTGATCATAATTACCAAACAGAAATTAAGAATATACTTTGTCAAAAATTTAATATATCGATTACTTAATTAGCAAAATATATAATCAATTTTGTATATTACCACAAATTTTAAGCTTCCTGGACTTTTTGCAAACAGAATTTTAACTGTTACATGCAATTATAATATAACCAATGTACAAACAAAATATATTCACCTGTATTGCACAGCTACTGCAGCGCCGAACAGGCAGAAGAATACCTTTAAAATTGAAATGTTAGTCCGGCGGAATAAACTTTATCTTTTGGTTTTTGTTTCAAATATAGTAAAAAAATGACGGAATAAACACTTGGCTCCAAATAACGGCCTGCTATTCTGCGATGAAGTTGGAGTTTATTACTGTGAAATGGAAGGGTGTTGTTTAACACCGCGACGATTGATATGGAGTATTCNGAGCCAAGAACTGGAACTGACGATTCTTCATCGTTTAGAATCTTTTATACCAAATGCCTAATGAGTTGGAACCTGATATCAGCGAGCTTTTAATTTCTTCACCACGAGTTTATCACCTTTGTTTTAACGATTTCCAAAATATGTTTGTACAAGATAATGGAAAATTCAAATCATTCATAGATTAATCCTCCGTATGATTTTCTTCTAAGAGTGTAAGTTCTAAGTCGAGTACTAATTAGTTTTATAAAAGATAAAAAAGATCTAAAATTGATTTTATATTGTGTTAACTCAGTAATTAGTAAATTAACTCTTTGTCAAATTCTATGATTATTTTTTTCACTCGTCATTGGTGTCATAAATATGTCCTTTATAATTCATTTCTCTCTCTGATTGGAAGAAATTGGATCGATTTGTCTTACTATTACCCAACATGGGTCTTTCGCGTTATAGTCACCACCATCGATGAATCCAGAGCCAACGATAGAAAGAAAAATGGGTGGAGTTATTCATGAACTGTTTACTTACCTGGCTGATAAACTGAACTGAAATGGTACCAGAAATAGAGAAATCGCTGTCACTTGGGCGGAGGAATAGACGTGGATGGTACTGGTTGGGCAGGGAGTTGTGAATGTGTGGCAAAAGTGGTCCTGATATATGTTGCGAATGTCTGTTCTATATGCCCTGTATTTTTGTAGGTAAAAGTTGTCAGTTATGTGTTCGTTGAAGTATTTGATGAATAGAGCTCTCTTCTATTCGGCATTAATGTTGAAGTCATTTCTACAATATTTGGTGATGAAGCAAGTCATGGGTGTGCAACACAGAAAATGATATATTTTTTATTGTTTAACAATATTTACATAGATTGGAGGTGGTTTGTGTGTGGTTACTTTCCTTACAGGTGTGATCTTCGTTTCATCTGGCCATATAAAGGGGCGAACAAGTGATCGTACCGTGGGAATACTTACCACCGAACGTGGCCTGAATTACCTGGAGTACTTCAGTTGATGGGTTTAACGATGGCTACTTGCATACAATTTTGTGTTCCTTCTTTGTTTTTACTTCTTCTCTATTGTGGTGCAAAATTTGCCACTTCTATAGCATTTATTGATGCTTTTAAAGAGGACGTCAAAGAATATTATAAAGTGATGGTACCAAACCTTTTGGCCCACTTGTGGTATTCTCCTGTACGGGTATCTTCTTGCAGCGAAATTAGTGCAACAATTTAGTAATAATTGCAAATTATTTTCATTAGCTTTCTTATTTTTTCTATATTTAATGTATTGCTTAGGATACATTGTATAGTATAAAGTGGTGATTGATGAAATTATATTATTTTATTTCTATAATCTAATTTTGTAATCAATTTCTTCTAAGGTGCAAACTCCGTGTTACGATGTTGAAAAGCCACTGATATCTGGTCTCGACCCATTAGACATTTGGTATAAAAGATTCTAATGGATGGAAACTCGTCAGTTCCAGTTTTTGACTCGAAACTGACAATGAACCCAATCGTAAGTCACAACCTGAGAAACTTATTATTTATATAAAATGCGTTTACTTTTTAATTTTAAAGGTATTCTTCTGCCTGATCGCCGCTGCAGTAGCTGCACCTTACAGGCGAGTATATTGTCTTTACACATTGCTTACATTGTATTTTTTTGTAACGGTTAAAATTCAGTTTATATAACGCAAAACAAGCTTAAAAAATTGTAATAATACGAATAGTTACGGGTTAGATGTTAGTCACTTTGTATATATACTTTCATAGGCAAAAAAATGTATTATAATTTATTTTATATCTCTATAATTAAATCATTAGTACACAGGATATCCTTTGTAGATGGCCCGGTGGAATTTCTCTTGAACCAATGATGCTATAAAAAAACAAAAAATACACGTTTAATACTGTTTAGTCTAGTTTCAAATTTCTACCTTTTTTCTAGAAACGTTAGGGCACCTTAGGCCCAGTTTAACACCAAAATTTCAAACATGACACTATGCATCCTGAAACATCATTTTTAAGAATTTTTTACGCTGAAAACTATGGTGCTATCTGATTTTAAGTTGGTCAAAAAATGAGAAAGTTTATGACAAGCCATTTCGTTTACTATTTACGAAAATTTCATGTTCGGCTCCTTGAGTAAAGTTGCAACGATTTCCTCTTTTTAACCAGTGCTCAGAGCGATAGCGTCAGGGGAGATGGATTAAGAAGCAATTTTGTATCCTTTACTGCAGTTCTTCAACTGTGTTATGATAGGCGTTGACACTGTTTTTTAAATGGATAGAAAATACTCAAGTGGAGTTAAATCGGGTGACCGTGGAGGCCAACAGACCGGGTCATGAGGTCCTATCCATCTATCCCGGAAGTGCTGATTCAATGAACGTCTCACCTTCAAAGAATTGTGTGTGAAATTCTCGGATTTTTCTCTGCCCACTTTCGAAAATTCCAACGGTTTAGTATGCCAATAAAGGTGAACTTGGCTACTAGTCTATAGGATGAATGGAAGAACGTTTTCTTGGTGATGGAACAGGAACTGATCCGTATTTCTTCGTATTGCGAGCAATACGAATAATCGTTTTGTGGTTTACTGAGGAGCGGTCAGGAAATTTCTGGAAGTCCAACTTGATGCACGACGCGCATTGCCAACACTATCAATGAAGCTGTTGATCGGAAAAATGTACTCTTCTGATAATTTTGGATAGATTTTTGAATGTAACGAATAGGTACGATTCTAAAAGTTCATTTACTTCCAGGAATTAAGATTTGCTCTCTAAGGTGAGTTCGACAAACAACGAAAGAATGAAAACAATAAAGGCAATGAATGTTTAATTTAGTTAAAATGCAAATAATGGAATTAACGAAAAAAAAGAAATGCGTTTTTTCAAACTATTTGCCATAACTTTGGAATTTTTTTACCAATTTAAAATCAGATAGCACCATTGTTTTCAGCATGAAAATCCTTTAATCCTTCTAAAAAATATTAAATACTTTTTCAGGGGGGTAACGCAATTGGTTCAAGACAAATTCAGCCGCGCCTTCTGAAAAGGACATCCTTACATGATTAGGAAAAAGTTAAACATCTTAAAAATCTGATTACTTTTGTTTTTGTTGATACAGTTGGTATTTATCATGAAACTAAATTTTTTGTTTTATACCTTAACAAATATAAATATTCCTTACAGAAACTCAAAATTTTAATTATTGGCATTGTTATTTTTAGTGTTCGCGTTGCGGAAGGAGTAGGCTTCGGCCAGCAGTACTCTGTAGATGATGTTCCATTACTTCGTAGTGGACTCGTTCCAGAGTCTTACAAGGCAGGAGAAGTCGATTATCCTGTCAACCATTACGACAAATTTTTCAAACCATCGCCCTACGTTTTCAAGAGGGACTACGAACACGCCGTTTCTGGATATTCTCGTCCCTTAAGCGGAGATTTGTTGGAATTTCCTTCCACGCTATTTTTTAACCGTTTTTAACAAACCGCCTCACACCATGGTGTCCATCAAGGATAAAAATACTCATTTGATACGATCACCTATCTGCGGCCACCAATACTATCACCCATCTCAGCTTCTGTTTAAATTTTTCAAGTCGATAACACCCACATGGTTTAATTGTTTATCAAGTCAATAAAAAAATTAGATGTTGTCTAAATTTGATTGAATAAATACCTTAAAACATATTTATTGCTTGTAATATCCTATTCCCGGTTGTGACACGGGCACCTGCTCTTGGGCCAAAGCCCGCGCTGGTGCATCTTATGCAGAGAAAGGTTGCTCGATATGTCCCACATACTGGAAAAATGTCACGCCTTGGCTCCCTACAGGGAGCGTGTAGGCATGCCATCCAATTTGAAAATGGTACTTTAGCACTGCAGCGGGTTTCTAGGTTCCCTGTTCCGCTTTCTAGGGGAAATTGCGGTTTTTTATTGTATATAATATGTCTTATGTGTTGTGTGTCTATATGTTTTGTCTGAGTGCATGTATTTATTAGCGTGAATGGCGAGGGGTTAGGGAGAAGTATAACGTCATCATCGCCCCTCGTACTTTGAGAGCGTAAAAGTACTCCATCGACCCCAACCCAGATTAGTTTGAGTATAGGTCGGTGGAGGAATATCAAGTATTCCACCAACCGAACGGAATGAGCGTACTGTATGGATGTATTTATTTGTATGAATGTAGTGTTTGAAAGGGTAAATAGAAAATAGACTTAGTTGGGGGCTGAAATGACTTAGATATCGGAAGCCCCAGTCAAAAAAATCCTACTTATCATTTTAAGACAAGAATATTCACTACCTACCAAAACAAAATATATTACAAAAGAAAGAAAAACCATTCATTCACTTTGATCGTGTTACTGCATCAATGAACTGAAGAAATGATAGTACTTTTGTGGTTCTAAACTCCAAATAATAGTGTGAATATTGTTTTTCAAAAAGATTTTTTCATATTTTATCATAATTGATTACCATTTATAAACTAACTGCTCAAAACTATTGCCATATGACCTATATTTATGCATATTACACAGAAGTATTTTAAAATCCATCATCTAGAAGTGCAGATATCGCAGAAAAAGGTAAGAGGAAAATGCAAAAATGTGACAACAGGCTTATTATACAACAAATCTTAGATTGAATGGCATAAGATGAAGTTAACCAAATGTACAGACATATATACGTTGAAGAAGGTCACTAAATAATTCAATAAAAGAGTCGTTGGTTTTATAAACTGAAGAAATGGACCGTAGAGAAGCGATGGAAAGTTCAGTAAACAACCACGAAGTGGATAAAGAAAGATTTGACAAGAACAAAACAAATCATACGTTTTATATTGGCGACTTGGTTATATCGAGGCGGAAAGCAGATTAAACAGAAACAAGCTCGATGAGATCCGTAAAGGACCATTTAAAATAAGACAAGTTTCGAACAGTGAGTATTTGGTGAACTGGAGAAAACTTTTACCATAACATTAGCTTCTTTCTTACACCAGAAATCTTTCTACGGCTAATTTCTACGAATTAACTGGCCATAATTGGTGGGAGGGATTGTAAAGATACTTCACTGATGTCATTATCTTTAGTAAAGGCAGCAGTGATGAAGACGGTAAAGAATAACTTGAACAACTCAGTTTATTTAGTATTTATTCCTGGTATTGAGATTAAGACTATAAAACCGATTTTGTTTTACAGAACAATTATAAATTACCTAAAATGTAATTTTTTGATAAATTTTGTTTTTTCAATACATTAGCTGCAGCATAGAGCTCAGAATTGACAAAACTCCTTTTTACCTAGGAAATTAATATCTATGAAATTACAAAAATAGAGAAGGTGACATTTTTAACTTCACGACGCAGTAGAAAAAAGAATTGTTTTAAGATTGTTTAAATTTACAAGAAGCAAACGGCTTGTAAAGGTAGGTCTGTTAATTGTTCTTACCATTTTAACAGAAAACAATTTTAATCAGGAATAAGGGACATACTTACTTGATTGTGACAAACCATGTACTTTTGGTAACTGAACACAAGACACCATCGTCCAGGATGATAAATTTGAAGGATTCTGCCATCACGTTCAATTTCTCGAACTATATCTTTACCTAATGTTTCAGTAAATGGACGTCAAAAAATGCCAATTGTACTTTTACATTATATTATTGTTGTTGAATTGTTGTTGATCAACATCGTATGAAGGCTGGTTGATCGCACAACAAACACATTATATTATTATTAATATATAACACTCAATATATTGTATATGCAAACAAGTACATAGTTTTTACTTTATTATTATATTTCTAACCAAGTTAAGCTAACTCATCTATGGGTACAAAAAGCACTTTTCCAGTACAATAATTAAGTAAGAATGAAGAAAATTTTAGAGAAAGTTCTGTCAAGAGGTCGAAAAAGCCCCTGATTGTGATAGAATTCACAGAATACTAGCCAAAGAAGGTACTGTATGGAAAAAATAAAAATATTTACTCAACAAAATGGAAAAAGAGAAGGTGGACAACGTCAGGAACCAAAGCGATGTGTGCCTCACTGACAATGAGGCGAAGCTTCGACTCGTTGGAATCCACCGAGAGATAGAAGGATTCAGAAAAGTGGATACGTGGTCCATCAGTTCAAAATGTGGTCACCGACACTCACACTCCACTGTGGACTAGCCAGGTGTATTATGCAACCATTGCTATGTGCTTTATTTTTTATTAAGTATGTTTAAATGTACATTATTAAGTAAATGTAATAAAAAAATAAAAAATAACTGAACATAACTTTCTAGCGAAAATCAACCCTTTTTTTTCTCTTCCTCCATTCTTTCTGTCTGTTGGTTCTATCATGTAGGATGGATGTCTGATATAGATTGAACGGGTATAATTCCTAATTGCTTTTTTTTTCACAGGAGGTTTCAATGTCGTAAATAGATGTCCATATACTTTAGCCGTAAAATAATAAGAAAAATAATAATGTGGGAAATTTAGGGATCGATATAGAGCTAAGGTCAACCCTGACGCTATGCGTATTTGTAATTTTACCAATCTTTCGCGCGTTCTTTTAACATGCAACCATTTCAGCAACTCGATCAGCTACTGACTCTCTGCTTTTGAATGATAAATGACTCTCATTTACCAACTACAAACACTAGACGTACAACACATATATACACATCAACTTATAAAAACAATGAAGTCTTGGTTAATTGGATATATTCATCAAAACCTAGACTAAAGAGATGAGTGTTTTCTCTGAAATTGGTCTTAGAAATACCTCTATACCAACTTTGATTGTATAAATATTTAACATATATTATCATGTTTCAAATAACGTCAAATAGATGAGATCATTAAAGAAACTAAAAACGGAAAAATCCAACAACTATTTAATTAACTTGGGCTAATGTGGTGATCTGATCGATTGTTTACGCCGCCATATTTGCCACAGTTTACAACCGCAATTTTCTCTAATGGGAAAAATATTTTTCAAATAAAATTTCTTCCAGCTGATACCCAAGTATATAATTAACAGTTGGATGTTTGAATGAAGTAGAATAACTGAGAAAAAGGATTATTCAGTCTATGTAGTTGTACTGGTCGTAATGATTACATGCCAAAAGTCAGTGAACAAAGACAGTTAAATTTATTACCAAAATTTTATATTATATGCAAATACAAACATTGTACATGGAAGATGTGTTATAAATAAATAATGGACTGGTTGCTCTTCTCGTTTCACTCTCAACTCGGATATGTTTTAAATCATAAGTTTCATACCATTTTTCTTAGCCTTTTTAATTATTAAGAATAGTTTCCTGATGAAGGGGTCATAGTCTTCGAAGGGTTGAGAAGTACATCAGTAATTATTTAGCTTTATAAAGAACGATTAAATAACAGCCAAGCAATTATGAAAAAAAGTTTCCTCGATGGTCATGATACTAGTATCATTTTACACAAAAATTACCAATTAATTTCCGAAAAGTTAAAACATTTAAATTTTTTCTAATATTTTTAAAATGGTCATAATCTGTAGGGTAAGTAAAAGGTTGAACATATATTTTTTAAATTAATCAATTGCTGTATTATTGTAAATTTGACTATAAATCACTAAAAATACTGTCCCAATTGTCTTGATTCCTGAAATAATTTATAGTTTTAATTACGATGTACATGAGCATTTACTTACCTTCATATTCTACACTCCAACCTTGTTTAATCTCCTTATTATTTACATGTTCGTAATTAGAAAATTGTATCCAATTAGGATGTTACATTAAAAAACATTTGGATGGAAAATTTTAAAATTGATTTTTTTACGAATACACCCGATCACGGTGTGGTCTTGATGAAAAAACAAATTCAGTTGATCCTGCCAAGCTTACGGACCTATTTTCATCAGGGTAAACTAATTTTAAATATGTTTACAGATTGACATACTTAAGTTTTTCATAGACGACATCACTTCAAATTTATTTGAATACCGCCTGAAGTTGGAACCGAGTCGGTCTTCAAAGAAATTTGAAATCGTCTGTGAAAAAAATTAATTATGTAAATCTGTAGACATATTTAAGATTGTTTTGCCCTGAGGATCGTAAAATAGGATAAAATTTGGCAGTAACAACTGAATTAGATTGTTCATCAAGACCCTACCGTGATCTAGAGTATTCGTGGATCGAAAAGTGGTCGATAAATCTAGCACTTAAAGTAAAGATTATGTTAATGTTAAAGGAGTTTAAAATTAACATCAATCCTTTTCCAAACTTTATAATTATATCTTCATAACTATACAGATTGGCTCAGTCGTGGAAACGTGTTCAGAAAAATATTTTATATAAGAGATAAAATAAATCATACTCAACAATCTTGTTTTTTCTTTTAAAATTATTCTTTACAGCACTGATAAAATAATCTATTTAAAAATAACCACCCTGGACTGAACTTTAAATTATGCTTACAACCAAAAGAGAAAGAGACAGTCCTTAATAAATAAAACTTTACAGAAAAAAAACAATAATTACACAATTGTGTTGGAAATGTCAACACCTATTAACAGATTTACAAAACAAAAGAAATACATTAACAGATTAAAAATATAATCGTAATGTAAAAATAAGAAGCTATATAAAACCTTTAACATTTTTACTTTTTTAAAGATTTCATACACCTTTTACAATAAATAACTAATCCCATTTTACAGTAATCATTTGAAACTTAAAAACAGAGAACAACTGTACAACAAATAATTTACAACTACACATATTGCAATGATGAGGCTGCAGATCTTCGTTTATCACATGGCAAACCTCAGCAACATCAAACAAAAGAAATAAAAATAGACACTGGTAGAGTTTGTGCTTTTAAAACAAATTAAGAAAAAAAAATAATATGGTTTATATTTACATACTCCAAATGGAAGTATTTGTGACATTTCCATCACACAATTCATGGGTTTTGAGCGTCCAAGATAGTTAAAAATTGACAGACACCCCGTTAATACTGATGTTTCCTGCGACTTGGTCGCGCTTTAAAAAGAAGAAATCGGTCCAACAATAAATATTACGAAGCAACGGAATTTCATAGACAGACATTCATGCAGACACTTAAGGCGGTTGAGATCAAATGTAAGTCCTCGCAAGCTAACACTGAAATCAAACAAAAACTAATTTCTTCTTTTTACAGGTTAGTCATACGGACAGATAAAGCTTAACCTTCCAAATGGATTTTGTACTAGGGATTTCATTTTTACATATGAGCACAGACACAAACGAACAGTTCAGCGACATATAAATATCAATTTGATTATAGTAGTAATTATAATTATAATTGAACTTTTTGATAAAATTAGCATCAGACATTTACAATTTACTAACAGTGAAATACATCGAAGTGTTTGAACACATTAACATTATCATTACATAGTTATATCAGAATATATTTTTGAGAAAAAATCATCAATTTAATTTTACTTTATTCTTAATGCCTGACATCAAATATAAAAAATGTTTCCATCGAGATCTTTATTGCTTACACATTTATTCAGTATATATAATATAAAAAATTCTAATCTGTTTTGGTACTTGAGGCCAAAAGGATGACATCAGTTGCAACAATGAAATATAAATTAGAGACAATAAATATATAATATATATATGTATATTATAAAATCTTATTAAAACTTATCACAGAAATCGGACATGTGCACGAGAGAAGGCGTTAAGGACTAGTGCCGCCTCGGCGAGCATTGAGCACATGTTCTCACAAGGAAGGGTTTTTGCGATTGTTTGTTAATTAACAACAAACAACAATTAATTTGTCACTTAATAACAATAACAACAATAATACAGGTGAAATTGGCATCCATTACCAGCACTTTATTTAAAACTGTCGAAATTCCGAAATTTGTGGTTTATAAAGTTTTTTGTTATATTTAAATCAAAAATTGTTTTTCCGATAGTTTTAAATAATAAGGCTTATTGACACATTGGCCAATAATTATTTTAAATAATAACAACAATCAACAGGTTCATATTTATAACGCAGTAGTTTGATAAAATTAGCATCCATTGTCGAACAGGATTTTTTTAACATTGAATTTTAACAAGCAAAATAAACAATCGCAAATACCCGACCTAGCTAGTGCACTCGAGTATTTAAATTAACATTAATTTTCTATTTAAATTGAAATCTATGTACACTCTATAATATGAGGCTGGGACGATTCTATAACAGTGGGCCTTTGTGTTTCCATTGGGATAGGACGTCCCATCTCGATAGATTCCCGAGAGTCAGTCTCGTGTTTCTCTTTTTCCACCGGGCCTGAAGAACAAAAATCGTAGTGTGATGTTAAACATTTGTAAAATGCGATTTGTTTAGTGGGCAAAAATTTTGTATTACTTACCCATATTGATGTCGGAATTTGGGTAATCGTAGTAATAGCCTGGTGGAGAGCCGGCTGCAGCAGCTAAAGCTAGTTCTTCATCGATGTTAGGTCTACAACTTGTAGTTTTCCAGTGTGTCCTACAAACGGAAGAAACCACGTTAATCATTTGTCGCGTTAGGCAACTGTCCTCAATTATGTATTAATTTGTCCGTTTTTACCTTAAACCTGATGCACTGATGTATTTCTTGTTACACCCTTGACAAGTGTATGGCCTTTCATTAGTATGTAGTCTTTTGTGCAGTTTTAGGTGAACAAATTGTGTGAACTTGGCCGGGCATAAGTCACATGCGTAAGGTTTCTGCCCTGAATGTAGCCTGAGATGTGTTTTCAGGTTGGACGTTGAGCTGAACCTTTTTTTGCATATCTCGCACTGGTGAGGTTTCTCCCCTTTAAAAATAACAAAAAAATCAGTAAAATGAATATATATGATAAATTATCAAAAATTCCAAATATATTTACCAGTATGCACAAGGTGGTGTTTTTGTAAATGCGCCAACTGCGTGAAACTCTTTGTACAGACGTTACATTTAAACGGCCTCTCGCCAGAATGTGTCCTAAGGTGAACTTTGAGATTGGACAGCTGGCCAAAAGTCTTATAACAAACGTTACATTCGTAATGCATTTTTCCATCTTTCTTCTTCAGAGGATAAGGAAGTGACCGGTAGCCTCTTGAAGTCCCGTTAGGGGATAGGGGACCGCGGTATTCGTCTATCGGTGCACCCTGAGGAGGATGCAAATAGGCCGTTGAACTGGATGGAGGTGAATATTGAGGAGGAGGCGTCGGGTAATGTGACTGGAAGTATTGATAATCGTAGCCTGGCGCAGGAGGCGGTGGCGAATACCTTCTTACCGGATTCAGCGTGGAATCAGGGCTAAGATTCCCATATCTGTGAGATTTCTTGTATGAATAAGCCATCTCGGTAGGGGAAGTAGGCGGAGGTGTGGCGGAATTTCGCCTTTCGCGAGATCTGAGAAGTATGTTCTCTAAGATGGATGTTTGCGGCATCTCGTAATACCTCCTTTGATCCAAAGATTCTTCAGGAACTTGAGCCACGGGTGGTGGAGAAGGACTGTTTTCTTTTGATTCTTTGCCGCTGTACGCTTTGCTCATCTTAATCTTAACTTTCCTATATTCGTTCCTGTCCATACCTTCGGGCTCTGCTTGCTGTAATGGCAAAGCTTCTGAAGTTGCTACCTCTTCAGGTATCGTTTCCATTGGTTGAACGCCTTGTTTTTTACTGAAATCCAACACATAGTTGTTGTCGCCGTCATCCGAATCAGAAGAGTGTTCAGGAGGTGTTAGAACTTCGTCGTGATATCCATGGGAATGGTATCCTTCATCGGATCTGACGGAACCGTCACCGATTTCCTTTTCTTTAGCCTCTTCTTCGTCCTCGTGCCTCGTCGGAGGACTAGCAGAGTCCTCTCTTTTCGGGGGGTGGTCCGTTGTATGAGGTACATCGTACTCGGGCGTGAAATTGTTGTTCAGCCTGTCAAAGTGATGGTCTTGCTTTTCAACCCTGGCTACTTCGCTTGTGCTCACTACAGTGGAAGAACTAACTTCGATCGTATCCGTCTTCTTATTATTCGTATTGGCCGGGACTGTCTGCTGAACTTGCTGTCCTAAAACCCAAGCACGGTTAATAAATGCGAACGAACGAACATAAAAAAATAACTAATTGTATGCGTACTTATTCTTTCGAGCATAAGTTCACCCGTCAGTGGGTAGTTCAGTCTCTCAGCAAATTCTCTGCAGTACCAAACCAAAAGCTCTTGGTTTGGCAAAATTGGTCTAATTGTATAAAAGTAAATACTCATCTGTGAACAATAGGTTTTATTACAAAAAAACAGATCAAATTAAATAAGAATAATATTGTCGTGTAACTTTACAATACCTTATACTGGCAAGCTATCAGGTTCTGCGATTCCGAAGAATATGCGGGATTGACATATCTCATCCAGTTTGATTTAGAAACGTCGTAACCATCAATGTAGTAAAATAGTTGATTTTCCTTATAAACCTGAAATATGATTTGCGGTTTAGAAACGCAATCAATGTTTACGAATAATAACAAAGTAGTTAATAAGTAAATCGGACATGCAGGTGTTAGAAGGAAAATGAGATTGTCATGTTGCCAAATAAGATGGAAAACATAGAAAAGCGTACCTTAGAAGGGTAATAATGAGCTCGTTCTTCTTTGATTTGCACCTGTGAGAGAGAAGAGATACGAAAGGGTGAATATGTGATTTTTGATAGGATTTCGTGTTAAAAGATTTACTCCGGTATTTACAACATAGGAGTTAGTGAGACCGTGCACCGAAGGTCAAAATAATTCGGCTCATCCTCCAAAGTCAGTTAGACCGTACCACCAAAATAAAAAGAAAGAATGAACCTACCCTCCAGAAGTATTTCCGGTTGGCCGTTGACGGGACGTCGTTCTTGGCGTAAACTTCACCGACGAGAGGACCGAATCGGGTACCCCTCGGGATATAGCTCGTGCTCCAGACGCCCATCACATCGCTCAGCGCCTGAGAAGGCCTGAGAACCAGGTTCCTCGGAAGTGAGGCCTCCGCCCTGTTGGGAACGTTCGGAGGTGGGCTCTGATCAAGGACGATGTAAACGGCATGCTTTTCGAATTCTTCCTCTTTCGTCGTCGCCGGGTCCCAAGCACCCCCGTCTACGCCACCGCTGCTTTCTTCCACCATCACCACCTGTTCCTGGAAACAATAGATATTTCAAATCCGTTAGAGAAATATCGGATGACCAATTCAAGTTGCATTACATTCAAAAAAATTTATCCAGTCGATTTAAATACTTGAACATCGCATGCTTAAATTATTTTAAGAATCGACAGAAAAAGCACGAGAGTCGAAGATTTTGATACGTTTTGTAGCGAATTGTATAAGTTCAAAAAAAAGTTTTTATGTAAAAATCAATTTTTTTAATTTTGTACCGTTTAATTAAACCAGATTGATCGTAAAGTAGCTTTTCCCACGCAATGTTAATAATATTTAACGTCGATTTTAAATAATACAAATTTTTCTTTTTTTTCATATTAATGTGCTTAATAAATGAGCAAAAAATAAATAAATTGAAAGAAAACATTTCCTTATTTGAGGGGTAAGGGGTAAAGCTTTGTCTGTGGTAAGGGTTGTTTGGGGGTTGGCGGGTTTATCGACAACACTACTACTCGAACCGAAGACATCGCGTGTCTAGACGACGAAGGTCGAGCGAAATCCATACGGCGAGTACAATTCCGGTCGATAAGGACGGGCCACACACTACTGACCCACATAAGGCGACCGTGCCATCTCACGGCGTCTATCTCAACCCTCTGTCCAAGACCCTTTGGTCCCGCCATTTGATGTTTCAATACAAAAATGTTCAATAAAAATTGATATTTTTAGATTTCTTAGGTGGAAAGTTAAGTTTGATAAAGCCTAACTACAAACTAGTAACTATCGCTTTTTGCTGGATCAATGTTTCAATCAATCAATCCTTGTTCAACATGTTATTGCTAATGAATGAATTATTTTAATATAGATTTAGGTTCCCATTTAATATACAAAACATAAATTTGAAACATGTATCCTTTCTATACACAGAGTAATTAATGGAATGATAATTTCCATAAATGAAAAGTTCATAAATTGTCAGAAAGATAAGGAAAAGAGTAACGTTATTATTTGCAGGATATGAGTCATTAGGTCTTCTCAAAAATTGGATCTATTAGTTATCTCATTCAGTTATGTCCACATGTAGTTCAGTTCGTTCTCGTGTTAAGAAATTTGTCTTCGTGGCAAAATCAGCAGGAGAACTGATGGCTAAAGAAGCCTATTTACACTTTACCACCCTGCGGTCTTCAAGATCTTCCACTTCGGTGTCCGTCTTCAAGTTTAAAAATTTCCCTCAGAAGGCCCGTATAACAGAGAAGTCGCAGACGGCGTTCGTTCGATCGCAGCCAACCCAGTCGGCGGACTATATCGACCCGTCTGAACCTACCCCAATACAGAATGTCTGGACCAAGCACATTTTCACTTTCTGGACCGCCCCCCGACGACTGGGCGGCTGCTGGAGCTGACACCTAGAACCCGGACTACACTTTTAGAAGCCATGTTCTTCTTGTAATTTTATGACAAGGCATCCTATCAAATAAGAAGAGAACCGATGTCGAATTGGTCATGAGAAACGATCAACAAGTTTAATTTTTCAGAAATTTAAGAAAATTTTACTTATTTTCCTATTTTTTGTAGTACATTTTTGGCCATTGTTATGATTTAAATTGTCTTTTCCAATATTATTCTTAAACTATTTAAAGCAAAAGATGTTTCTTCACGACTGCAAATATGATTTTCATTAATATACAACTGTTTGATTATCTTTTGTCAATAAATGATCATTCAGAAATTGTCAATAAAGTTATGATATGACTTATTTGGTTTTGGCAAATGCAATAATCAAACTTACATACACGCTTATTTTAATGACAAAATAAATAAAATAAAAGTGTTACAACCACACTAAAAAATTATCAAGATTATCATGTTTGATTTTAGATGTCTACTCGTCATTGAGGAAACCAAAAGAATTTCATTAAAAAAAACCTGTTTGCTTGGTATGAATGACATATTCAAATACTGTTTTTAGTAAAGATTTTCACAGCACTGTTTAACTAGTTCAACTTGTAAACACATTTAACGATATCTTATTAGTATATACGATAAACCCTTAAAAATTGATCACAACATTTAAAGATTCTTATTTGTACATTTTCATGTCGATTATAAATGAACCAAAATAAAATGTTATATATAAAGGTAAAATAAATTTAATTAAAACGAGAGGAAAAATTAAATAAAGATACCTGAACTGAACAATTATTTTTGTCTGTGACTCAAAAAAAAGCAAAAAAAAAAAATTGGCATCGTAACAGCGAATGTAATATATAAATATATTAAAGCTCTAGTAAATTTATATGATGTACTGTTACAGAAAACTAAAATTAGCCATTTTTTTTTTAACGATTAAGAGTGCATAATACTAAAATTCATATATTGGTTCAATGTCAAATGAAAATGAAAATTAAACTGAGAATACGTATTTCAATTGTTTTTATTATATGTTATAAAAGACGTTATAAAAAATTACCAATTTTAACCGGATCATTGAAATAGCTTATGAAAAGTTATCGTCGTATGAGCTAAAAATTTTCATATCATTATATAAAATATTTTTTGATGGCGATTTAATTTATTTCAAATTTTGAAATTTGTTTCAGGGTTGTTCGTACAGTGTACAATTCAATTAACCTTATAAGAAAAAGTAATTTCAAAAAATTATGTTAATGCTACACTTACTTGTCTTATCTTGTCTGGGTATTTCATTGCAGAGAATCTAAAGTTGCGTGCCAATGAATTTAGCCAGGAGGTGCACCCTGACCATTACAATCGTATCGCCAATCCCAAATCTGCATAAAAAAATGTTCACAATCAGTTCATAGGGGAATAGCAGTGTTAAAAATAGAACGGGGCCCAGTTTATGCTAAAACGCCTGGCAGGACCATCACGGCGGTTTAGCATCTAGAGCGCCGTGATATAAAATAATTTTTTGTATTTCAAAACTTATTTTACACACCTTTTTAATTTGAAATTATATGGAAATGTGTGTATCTCGGTTTTGATTTATTGGCCAATTCAATATCTTTTTCCTCTCCGATGTGTAAACGTCACCGTGCACCACCGTACAGAATAAGACGCAGAATATTTCAAAATTAACCTTTTGAGGAATATTAGGAATAGCGCGCCAGACTCAATATGGCGCCTGGCAAACATGGTGGGGACGGAATAATTTAATTAAACATTCCAATTTATAATATAAAATTCTTAAATATTTTTAACGACAACTTGCTGGCGAGTTGATACCTGAACGATTAAGATTAAGTTAAGATTAAGATTAACAACCACGGCGTATGGTGTGACATTTTGTGACTTTTGAACAACGCGCTTTAAACAATAATTTTCCTTTTATCGGTGGAAAAATATAAGCAAAATTTGTAATAGAAGATGAAACACGGAAGTAGGCTTGTTCTGCCAAAAGTGTCTGTGCCTGGCTCTTGTCCTTGGTTAAAGCTGTCAAAGTCTAAATTTAAAGTCAAAATGCACCGCCCCGGCAACAAGCCGACCTTGGTGCTAATCTGGGGCAAAATTGGCAGAACCAGGGGCTGAGACCCGTGAACGAATTGAGGGAGGCATTTGAAATCTTCCTGTTTCGCAATCTGAGCCTAGACTAGTTAGAAAGTGCATTTCTCGTCGATTATAAACGCTCGCGCCCTTGACTGCACTATTTACAGACCCAGTTGGAACGCTGTCAAACAAACGCAAACACAATCTAAATCTTTCAAGGTTCTCATTAAAAACCACGATTTTTTAAACGAAAAGAAGAATATCTAACTAATATTTCTTATGTAAACTAAAAAAATAATAAATTGATTATATTACATATAAAATATGTACAAGTTTTTTAAACAGAATTATTACGAGTTTTAAGTTGTTGTTATTACAAATTAAGCAAATTTGAACAGAATTTATCTCAAATTGTGTGTTGTTTAGACATTCATAAACAGATTTACTGTTTTATTTATGTCAATCCTTATCAAGAATAGGGCGTTTTATGTGTAAAAATTGGTGACTTGTAATAAAATTACAATACTTTAGTTAGTTAAAATTGAATTACTTACATAAAAATGTAGAAAAATTGTTACAAAAGGTCACTTTCGCTGTCTACCCTCTCGGAACACTACTAACCTACTGAGAAGAAAATCAAAATGGAGGACATTGCTGCTCAATTGCTATGACCAGGAATACTCGAAGGTTTGTCTTTATACAATATATTCTTTTTATACACTATTGAACACACTAATTATGAGCGGTTTGTATGGAAATTATGATAATTCTGTAAAACCCTGTTTTTCTTATGAATAATCCTGTTGTTATGGTCTGAACCATAGGCGGATTCGACGCAGACCAGTCGATGGCGCTAACTTTCAACCTTGAAAATCCTCACTTGGAAACTCTTTATGGCCGTGTTTGAAAAACAATGCCTAAGAGAGGGCCCGCATTTCTTTTTTTCGCGAGGCATTTCACACAGGGGTGGTGCACCCTTCATCGACACTTCGGCACGTAAGTCACTTTCATTTTTGTTAACCTACTATCTAAGAAATAGGACAGGTGACGTCAAATTTACGAATCGATGTTATCCTTGGCTTACTGTATCAGTTTGAAAATGTATTTCAAAGTTTGTGTTTATTATTTTTTATTTTATTTTATCCTAACTGATGAAGGAATTATAATTTTATATATTGTAACCATTTTAAATTCCCATGAGAATGTTGTGAATTTATTTTTAGCTTTTTGAGAGATTGAAGCTCGAAAAACTTAAAATAATTTTTTTTCCTCATTTAAAAAGTGAAGAAGCTTACCTGAGAGGGTTGTTGTGTATGTCCGACCTACCCTAACACTGGATGCATCCGGAATTCTGTCTGTATGCCTGTGCAGTTCCGCATGCGCTCGACTTGGCGACGAGAAATCGAGTCCGGGGAGGGCATCGACCCCTCGTTAGTACCCGAAAGGTGCCCCGGCCGTTCGCACTCTCGTACCCGTACCCGGGGGTTTTCGGGACCCGTCCGCCTGCGACAAGGCGTTAACGGCTCGGCTCGACGTTAACTGCCAGGACGCCGTTATCGATCTCGGTATCGCTAAGTTTTTTCGAAGATAACAAGAAAGTGGGGTGGGGAGTTGCACTTGCGCGAATGCACCTCCGGGAGATGTAAGTGCATTTCTGGGAGAGATCCCCCAAGCGACGTCATCGACCTACAACCGGCTCTCCATTCAGAAAGGCCTACTTTACTACGCTAACGGTCAATGAACTCCTGCCCCTCCCTTTATAAACAAAACCCTAACCACCCCCAATCTGCCCTTAACCCTCAACCCGGAAACAGGGAGAACCTGGTTTAGTTATCAAAGAAATTGTACATACATCATATTTTTACAGCTTGAACACCAGTCAACCTTATCGTGTCACTGTAAGTAACATTTACATTATATTAAAATAACGTACATTATCCAATTCTCGTATTCATTCATCCACTATCAATAATGATAAAAATTATTCTTAACATATACCACAACTCAATGCTTAAGTCTGTTGAATCAAAAATAATGACCATATCTTGCTTCAAATAATAAAGCTTGTTTTTATTACAGTAAGATAACCAAAAGAATAACTAATATTTATCGAATGATCGGAAAGCAGTTCATTTTAATACAGTGCAAATTTTAAAAAATAAAGTATAAACTGGCTTATATGAAAGATTTCTACAGTGTGAAGAAATCTTGGTTGATTGTTTTACCATTTAATGTTCTCCTTAAAAATATATAAAGTAAATGTGTGAAAATAATCCAAAAACAAGAAAAATCAATTCTATACAACATTTTGTCATTTAAATTTTTTTAAAAGCTCTAGTTTAAATCGATTTATAGTTACATTATGAGTTATAAAAATGCATGAAGTTTTATTACAATAACTGGAATAATAGCTTCCCCCTTTTATTCTCTGTTTGCTCTAAAGTTGAACCGCCGGCGGGTCGTTCACCCCACTATTTATAAACACGACCCTAACCAACCCCAATGAGTTCCACCGTCGCCCACTTCACCGCCACCCCCTATCCGGCAATAAAACGCCCCACGAAAAATCTTTATTAAATATAAAAACTAGATAAAATCGTGTGTCGTATAAACTTTTAATTAAAAGTAAGATCGGCGTGTAGAATTTGATGAAATTCATTCAGGTGTTGTACGACTTTACTCATAGACACTTCTGACCCTAGGGGTAAGAAAAAGTCGGACAATTCCGCGGAAATTAACTTCTTCTGAGAAAGTAAGCTCGAATGAACGCGATATAGGCAGTTGAAGAGGGGGCACTGAGGAGAAGTGTTCCGTCCTACATAATTCGCGGTCCCGAGTTCGTCGATCCCAGGTGAGAACCCCTGGACGGCCTTTGAAAAATAAATAATTTAATTATTCTCAAATCTTTCTAATGACATTGCTATTATTCTATTTGATAAAAATAATGATAAAAACATAAAAACAACAGCTAAACTAGACCTTTAACTAATAATTTCAACCGATCTACTTCATTTCTATTAAACGTTGTTTTTTATTGTTGTCATTACTATTATTGTTTTATGCCAATATATGACATCTCATTGTATCGAGATGAAAGTAAAGTTAAGCAAGTTAAGTGTGTTAGAGACAGGAAAGTGGGGTGCGGTCAACGACCTGCTCTCTCTCCCCTCAATCGATTCCTTTTCGGGGCAGTGAATAATTTTTTGGTACTGACATATCACATACATAATATATGTACCATTACAATACGTATTTTCGTTAATATTGAACGGAAAAAGTATGAGAACTTCGTCAGGTAAAGTGTATACAAGTGTATGATAAGCGGGTACATTTCATTACAAATTAAACCAGACTTATTGTGTTTATTCTAAAATATATAAAAAATGAAGATTGTAAGTTTAATTTTGAATCTTTTTATAATTATATTTGAAAAAATTGTTTCTAATAATAAACATAACCCAAAATATTTTAAAAGTCACATTAGTAAGCAAGAACTTTCTTTAAGTAAATAATTTAAGCAGTTGAATTCATGCTTTCTCAATATAAAATCATAGCATTGCAATTTTGAAACTTAAAATAGTCTTAGTAGTAATAGAATGTACACGATAAAATTTACTTTGAACCAGTTTAAAAAATATTTTTTTGTCAATTATCAATGCAATACCTGTGTCTCCAATTTTTACTGGTTGACGCATGGACACATACTTTTGGGCTGCAGTAAAAGGTTGCTTGATGTGTCCCACCTAATTAACCGGTGCAATTCCTTGAGTCTATATAGAGAGCGCGCAGGAATGCCACCAGATTTGAGAATTGTGCTTGAGCACGGCAGCGAGAATCTTTAGGTCCCCTGTTTCACTTCTTGGAGGAAACGGGGTTGTTCTATTTGTATATAGTAATAATAGTTGCGTATAGCCAATTTGTGTTGAGAGTGAATGTATTTATTAGCGTGAATGTTCTCATTAGCGTGGACGTGTGATGTGAGAGGGTCGATGGCGAAATACCGAGTACCCAATCGAACCTCAATTAGGTTAGTTGTTTAGTGTGGTTAAGGATGATGGTGGAATATCGAGTATTCCACCACCCTAATTGAATGAATAGGAATTGAATGCGTTGAGCGCTGAATTGACCTAGGTGTTGACAGCACCCTCCGAACCTCAATCTCGGTGGATGGACGGATGGGACTGCGGTCTGCAGTGTACTCGGGGTGGGTGATTCTCGAGTATGCCGGCAGTTTACTGTAAATAGCAAAAGCTGGAATTGACGGTGGACTCCGAAAGTAAGCTCAACTCACTACATGTTTGTATGAATGTACGTACGTACACGTGCGTTTTTGAGCCTATATAAATCGAAATCAAAGGGTTAAGGCACTATGGAGTGTGCTGTTAAAATCAAAGTTACAAATCAATTAATAAAAAAACTAACCTAACATAATGCTTTGACCATAAATCGTTGTTTTGATAAATGACATAAATTCCATTATTTTGGTTGGACATGAATAAACAAACATTGAGCAGTTGGATTGACTGTAACCAGACAGTAGTAGCCTTTATACCTATAAATATTGACTTTTATTGTTATATTAATCCAAAAACAGTTGAAAATGAAAAGAATTGTCAAAATCAGTGCGTCGTAGATAAGACCAGAAACTTCTAGACCAAGGGACCATGGCCGTAATGGGGACACAAGTTCATTGGGTCATAAGAGGGGATGGCCCCATTCCTAGTCCACCTTACTTATGCTCCCTGATGTAACAGGACCCGAGGAGGGTCGTCGCCCTCGGGCTCTCTCCAAAATCTGGAATATGATTTTATTCCGGATGAAAATTCAACAGAGAAAGAATCTACTTGTAATCCCATCAGATTGTACCAACAGTGGACGGTTTCTGATTATGAACCCCATACGGGTTACTGACCCTTGTAGTATGACCTAAAAAATTGGCGCTACTTTTTTTCTTGTAATTTTCTGTTAATATTTGTGCGAGGGTTCTAAACCTATAATGGCACAAGACACATAAGTTATGAAAAGTGCACTTCCTATATCAACTCACCTTGACCATTACGTTTGTAAATATTTGTTCTCATTAACAATTAAAAAAATCTCTTAAGGCATATTCACAGCATTTAAAACATTTTAAATGTTTAATGATTCGTTGTATAAAACGACATCAATAGGCAATCAAAATAACATCAATTTTGAAGCTAAAGTTATAATTCATTGAATTTAAAAAGATCCTCATAATCAATTCTTACAAGTCCAGATTTCATAAATGGCCTTTACCAAAAATTACATGTGCTAATCAAAACAATAAAAGTTAAACATGTTTGTTATAAGCTGGCCTTAACATTAAACTTGTGTCTTGAGAAGTCGAGGAGGTCGATGGCCTCAGGCGTGCTGACCTACAAAATCAGTTCCGAAGACATTTTATTCTCTACAATACATTCTATTCCAGATTTTACTTTTTCACCTTAAAATCAAGGCAACGATTAAGAAATCCTTCAAGCTTTGTTTGATGATGGCTATGTATTCTGTGAGGGATCTATTTCCTCGTCGGTGGCCAAGAGGTCATTGAACTCCAGTGTCCTGGCCTACAAAATCATTCCCTCTGACTCTCCATCTTCGTCTAAGAAGTATTTTTTTTATTCTTCAAGTAACGTTCAAATCTTGCATTCACTGAAATTTAATATTTATTTCAAGAAATCCTGTGCCAAGAAGGAATTCTTTACTTAGTTGTATTTTCAGGTTGTTGACCTAATGTGTGATGGCCTAAAAAATCAGTTCCTCAGTCGCTCTTTCTAACCTGAACGCATTTACCCTAACCAAAAAATATTCTTATTTAATTCTTAAGCCCTAATTTCTCTGTAGTCTTTTATTTGTCTCTGTTTTTTTCTCTGAGGAAATGAAGTTTAGTCAAATAAAAAAAACTTTCTTCTGAATCACTGTTTCGGTTCCTTCAGGTTATTGACCTCCAGAGTCATGGCCTACAAAATAACCACCTCGGCCTCCCTTTCTCATTTGCAGAATCTCAAAGAATCAGAAAACCTTAGGAACTGGCCCTGTTGTATAGATGACTATGTCTTAAATAATTCAAACGGGACTTTTCTATACTTTGGGCATTGCGCTTCAGCTTAGTGAAAGGGTTTATCAAGGAGAAGATCAGCGACCTCCGGACCTTTGATGACAACAAATGCATTTATCAGATAATTTAAACCCTATCTGAAATATTAGCATAACCTTCACTTTTAAACTAAAAATTTAGATTATCAGATGTAATAATGATAATGTTTTGAATTTTTGTGGGCTTTCTAAGCTGACTATTTTTGTATCGCCAGACGGTCTTTTATAGCTCTTCGCCATGACTATCTTATGCATTGCTAGTCAGTAGTTTAAAAATAATACTAAAATTTCGCTATTTACCTGAAAAATTACCCTTTATTGTTTTACAGGTCCTTTACAAAAAACATGTTCTCATAGGGTTTATATAAGTGTCAGGAAACTTTTTGAGTTGTTGTTGGTACGATTTTCATGTTTGTTCATGTGTATCAAAAATCGATTGTTGACCATCATATGTGGAACTTATAAAACTAGGAAGAAAAGAAACAGGAAGGAAGGTCATCGACCTCTTTGACATTATGGCCTACAAAATCAGTTCAACCGCACTTTCTTCTAGGGTGTCAAGCGCGTGTAAAAGTGTAAAACAGCCGCCGGGCACGACAACAAACGTCTTTTGTTGTATTTTTATAAATAATTATTGGAAAATTATCACGGTGTATATTGATCAGGGGAGAAATCCAACGTCCGGGTCTTTTGTTTTTCTAGGTGTCACGTTCCAAATTTAGGTAATGTAAAAACTCACATGTTTTAGGCAAAAATTTTCGATCATTACAAATTGTTCTCTACGTAGGCGGCCCAGTGAAACACTTATTGGGACTTTCTTCCTTTCCAGGAGGACCTCTTTGAGCTGCGCCCTCTATCTTCGTCCGCGGAACTTAGGAACGAGAATGTTCTTTCAATTTGAAAAGTTTAACATTTTGAAAATATTGTTAAAAGAGTCTGGTAAATTCTTTGATCATAAAATTTAAACTGGTCATTATTTGGTAAATTATGAGGTATAAATGGCATGCAAAAAACTTTAGCTTTCATAAAATACGTTTGTAAAGGATGTTTAAAATCAACTAAAGCATTATCACCAGTTTCTTCATAATGGTTCCTTTTTTCTTAACCCGAGACTAATTGATACATAAAACATACACTTTTTTCGATTACTCAACCGAAAACAAGTAAAAACCGGGAAGACTTAATTAACATGGAGTTTGTAAATATGTTCAACTTAAGTTAATGTAGTTACATTTTTCACTATTTTAATAAAATTTATAGTTTTTAAATCGTGTTTAATTTTATAGTTTAATCAATTCGGCACGATAAAATTTTTTTGAATAGAAATTTACAATTATAATCCTTTTCCTATTGCATAAATAATTAATATACAATACGATTTAACATTAAGAAAAGAAGAACGGTAATAAATATAAAGAACGAACTAAATTTTTTTTGGTATCAAGAATTATGTCAATCATCAAGCATTTCAATTTTCAAGTATAAGTGTTAATGTGCTTCGAATAAAGTAAATAACAGATAGAACAAATTAACTAAAATGGCGGATTTTTGTTCCTTTCGTTTCTTTTAAATGAAAATTAACATATTATCTATTGTGTTTAAATTATTAAAAAATGTTCCATGCGTCTATACACAATAATGTGTTTTAATAAAATTTGTATAGTAGGAAGATTGGAAATGAAAAATAGTTTATATCTAAATTATATAGACATCGATATATGTCTCTAAGATTTATCAAAAAGGGAGTTTGACAATAATATTTTTGTTTTCTCAGTAGATTTAAAATTGAGGAATAAATAAATAAACGTGGTTGAGATATTTCCCTCATTCCACGCTCAATTTTAATTAAAGCGCATATTGTCTTTTTCTAAATTATTTTTAATTCATTGTAGACTTGACATAACGCCTAAATTTTTCAACGGTTGAGGCTGAATATCGTTTAAAATGTTTTACCTATGGAAAAAAATCCTTGGACAATAAGTTGCGATGGAATTTTCGGTATCGGTATTTCCATTGGAGGAAATCGGGAGACACTGAGGTCAACCCCCTGTTATCAGGGTAAACACATGTATGACCCGGGCTGGCATTGCGGGGCTGTAAAGAGTCAGGTGTACAGGCCGTACGAGGGGGGAGCAGAACTGTGTCAAGTGCAGGTTACCGTTATGGGACAATGACCCTCACCAAGCGCCCTCTGCACAGCATCCGAGGAACAACTGTTTTACTTCCGCGAAACGAAGAACAACCTTCACCTTCCGCAGCTGGCCAGAGGCCATCTCCCTGGTGTTTTTCGATTCCACAATTTTTCACGGCGGTAAACCACCGATTTTGAGAGAAAGGTCATTTTTCTTTCGCCCGCGGACAGTTTTTTAAGGGGTCATTAACCAGGACGTCCATGTAGGTGCCCGGATAAGTAGTCGGTATGCAAATTGACATAAATATTCATAAGAATTTAACTCAACCTACCGTCCTTCCCTTTCTTACAGTATAGCAGTATTTACAACAAATATCTCCTGGAGTAAGAAAGTACGAGCACTGTTTTTGCCTTAATGGCAAAATATATGATTGCCTGGGTGGATGGAAAAATAGCCGGGGTGAAAAATACAGCCGGTACGCCCTGTAATTCCCGACCCTTTCTACCGAAAGTGAAAAGTTTTGCGAAATTTATAGTTTTATTGCGAAACGGATCGTAAAGTCGGCTCTTTTGGCCTGGGAACGTTGAACCCAACGGGGTGGTTGTAGTATATCGATCCGTCCTGACCCACCCCAACGCAGAGATTGAAAACCGTCGGACGCTTTGAAAATTGTTCTCATGTTGGGTTAAAAAAACATCCCCATGTACCGTTAGGCCCATCTCATCTCAGGTATGTTTTCAACAAGTAGGCAGATGTTTCAGGGCTAAGACAACGTCTCTGGACCAATTGTAAAAACCCAGATAGTCACGTATAAGACGAATCAGTCGAAAAGCTGAGCCTAGGTGCAGGCTAGAGAGAATGTCGGGGGCAATGACTCCGCGACCTAAAGTAAGGTCGCGCTCCGTTCACCGTAACCTTCATAAATAAAAAAAGCCATATCAACTCTGGTTTACCTGCGAATCATTTCTGGAAAGATGCTACCTCTTTTGAATATAAATACCAAATCGAGAATGTTTTGAAAACACAGCCTTCGAGAAAGAATTGGAAAAGAACTCGCGGAGATGACAAGAATGCCGAAATCCGGCCGATGACCTGCTGGGTGAACGCCCTTTACGCGGGCCCCACCTTCTCACTTTCCGACTTTGACTGCCCTTTTGCAATTTTTGCACGGAACACTTCTTTACCTCGGAAGAAGGCGGGGGTCTTGCGAAAAAAAGAAAGAACCCCCCGGAAGCCAACCCCTTTTGGTAGAACTTCCTAGAGACTATGTCGGCGTTAACGTCAACATATACGCTGTTTTGCGCATTATTCAAAACAAATTAACTATTAAAAACAAAATTGTATATTGTACACAAGGATGTAGAATTGTAATATTGTATACTATTGAGTGTATTGTGGTCAATCGCAAGCTGACTAAAAATATGTTCACATTCAAACCATTTTATGCAAAACTATATCAAGTCCATGATGTCATCTTTTCAGAGAAGATACAGCGCCATAGATAAACAAGTTCTTTATATGAAAATAAGTCTTAACCAAAGTTTTGGAGATATTTTTTATCTGTTGACAACATTCTGTTTCTTTAGACTGCTAGAATACGTACAATGGTCGACCCGATGGACATCCTATTTCCAAACATAATCCACCTAAGAAAATAAAAACATATATACTTTGTTTTGACGAACTTCTTGACACAAAAGAAAATCTACTTTCAGAACGATTTCCGCCTGACATTCCTAATATTCGATACCATGCTTTGCAAAGGGAAAATACAGGCGGATTGGAAGCACAAGCTAGAAGATCGAAGAGGCACGGGGCCGAGGAAAGTTGAGGCTGTTGAACCAAGGAATGCCACAATACAAGTTATAGGTCGCCTCGCACGACCCCCTTACTTCCGCATCATATCCAAGGACATAATATCCTTTTCGTAATATATAAATTTGTAATTTAATTAAATCTGATTTTCATGCATCAATTAAAAAAATTTTAAAAAAAAATCAAATAAAGTGTATTTTGTTTATAAAACATGGGAAGAGTGTTTACCTGTTTTTCTATATTTTATGAAAACTTAATTAAAAAAAGAAAAAAAATGAAATGTAAAAATAATGTTTACTAACCTCAGTGTTTTTTATCAGCTTGGTTAAAAATAAATCTTTTTCTCAAAATTGCCAATAAAATCCTGGGACAGGAGATGATTTCCAAAGTCTGCAATATGCGTTCCACTAAGAATTATTCCTTTCTTAAAGTTGTGTTTTGCCTTCAGATCACAACACAAACACCACTCCACAACCACACACGACTGCCTTTCAGCTTCGACTGGTACTGACTGATTCGAAAATTGGTGTTTGGAAGGGAGCTTAAGCAGGAGGAGGATGGCCGTGAGAGGGCGCTGCTTCGGCCACAACGGGACCAAACAGGGTCGACGAACTCGACAGAACGGCTAAGCCCAGGTAGGAAGGCCCAAGGAGTTTCAATCCCAGGTAGTATAACTCATAACCACTCCGGAAAACAATTAAAAAATTATAAAGGAAGGTGGTCAAAGAGACGATTTTTTCTGAAATATCTCCCATGATGCTTTGATTTAAAGCTTGTTTATTACAGCAAGTTCACGAGCAAATATATAACTATATAAAAATAACCAGACTTTCATTTGGACCTATATAAATTGGAAGAAAACTACCTGAAAGTAACAGGTAATTGTTCTCTAAAAATGAATGCAAAAGTTTATTATTTTGTTATACCCAGTACCAATTTTTACTCCAGGTTCAAAAGCAAGTGGGTAAGAATATTGTGGTGACTTTTTTTAGTATTAAAAACGTATAAAAATTTGACTGAATTAAAATGTTTAGGTCAGTCTCAAAGTTTTGTGCATTACTCATTTCAAGACAATCTCAATTCAAAATTAAACATTATATATTCATTATTATTATATATTGATTTAATCAGGAATAAATTTTTAAAAAATTATCTTTTAGTAAGCAAACAACACTAAATTGTTCTGTAAATATTACAAAAAAGTTCCAGTATGGTGTAAAGTTAATATTTAAATTTCTGCTCAATGTTCAAAAACGAGTATATAATAAATGTGATTCAAGCTAATCACTGAAAATTTACGGGCGAAAAAGCTCAAATGGTGAAGGGTTAACCAATATCCCTACCAGAGTTTTTGGGCATACCGTCTACACAGTGCCCAAATAAATGGACTTAAATGTTCACGCAGACTAGAATTTAGGAGTTTAACATCTAATAATCATTTGCATCAAGTAAAGAATTTTTATAGTGTAAAAAAATAATAGGTAAAATTTACTGACACGAGAGTAACGGCAATAAATTTTTTAACATTTGTTCGTGAATAATCAATTTTTCGATCAAAAGGTTTAAAATTTTTGTTTATTCTATACCATTGTTATAAATTGAATTTTTATGTGTAATATTTCAAAATTGACTTATTTAGGTTAAAAAATATCAAATAGAAATTGATTTTTAATTTTGGACAAAGTTTTTAGAATTTTGTTAAATTATATGAATGGACATGTTTTAAGTCTCATATTCATGATACTTTGTATGCTTGAGCATATTTCGTTGTTTCTGTAACTTCATTTCAGAATTTTGAGCATTCAATTTTTTTATTCGATCACCACCTCCTCGAACACATCCATAACAAACAATAATCTATATACATATATAAGTGAATTTTCGTATGTATGTTAATCGTAAAAACCGATTTCGGTGAAACTGTCACATTTTGTATTTATTGGTGCCGGGGCGGGTTTAGAGACTATAAAATGGTCATATAACAAATAATGGTCATCAGGATTTATAAAAAAGAGAAATAACAATTTTTATTGTCTCACTGGCAACGCAGGGTTATAAAGCTTGTGATGAAATAAAATTAAACATAAGTTAAATTTAAATGAACATAATGATTTGAAAAATGGTATAGAAGAAAATATTGATAAGGGCAACTTTCCGTGGCAGGGTTTTCCTTATGCTAGGGTTAAAGGACAAAGACTATAAGAATTATTTTCCATTAATTAAGGTTTTTAGTTGAGATAAAAAAGTCATTGTCACGAGTGGGATTCGAACCCACGATCTTCGGCTAGTTAAGCCGCTGCTCTACCACTTGAGCTATCTATTTTTCAAATATCGTTTAATCTATTTTAATCCGTGGCCATTTCATTTGTCGCCGAGAATCAAATACATACATCAAATACACGACATTTGAAAAATGGCAAAAAGCAGGGAATATTCCAAATGTGGGGTTGAGATGGGAAGTTAGCGACCGAGTGGATCGAGGTCCGAGATCAAGTGGAGCAGCGGCGTATCTAGCGGAAGATCGTGGGTTCGAATCCCGCTCTGGACACTGACTTTTTTATCTCAACTAAAAACCATAATTAATTGAAATATATTAGTTGGTCAAGCGAACCACGAAAACTACTGAATTTATCAGAATAATATTTATACCTACTTAGTCACAGTCCCATTTAGATGTATAAACGTTTGACGTAAAACTACCTTTCTTCATTATTAAATTGTTATAAAAAGATAAAAATATACAAAATTCTACTACGATGCTTAACTAATATTTAAATTTTGACATCACATTAAGAATGTAATAAATAGTATTGATATAAGTGACGTATCGGCCATACATGAGGTCTAAATGGCCAACTAAAAGTTGTGTGTCGAAAACGAGAAAAACCACTTTAAAATGTTTTGTTTGTTTTTTAATTGTTATCATTTAAAATTCCATAAGCAATGCCGAGATTTCGGAGGTTCACTCGGTCACCGAGGACTCCAGTTATTTAAATCTAATTTCATAGAGCAGAGGGTATTAAATTTGTCTTACGTATGTATAACGTGGGACATTAGGGACTGACAAACGGCTGAGATCATCGCCGGTTCTCCGTGCACACTTCTATTTATTCACCTCTTTTTATTTAATGTGCAGCTATGCTCAATCTAACTCTCTACTTTATATGTATACCAAATCGATATCCAAAATGCTACATTCTTGTTTATAACTCATGTATCAACTATAAAATACAATCAAAATATACCTATACTCAATGATAAAAAAAATCCCGGACACTCGTATTTTGTTGCATATTTCAAACAATATGTAAATAATTTTTGTCGGTAAATTAATTACAATATTTTTATTTTACTGTAATAATAATAAATATTTAATTAATTATTGTTTGAATGAAAATTCGCAAAAATAGCCGAAAATCATTCAGTGATGATTAAAATTTAACTAACAATTTTTTCAATCACTTAACGTTTTTCGGATGTTTAGGTGAATTTTCTTTCAAACCGTCATAATTAAATAATTTTTATTAAAATCCATGAATTTTTGATCTCATTTAATTTGGTTTGCATATATATATATATATATATATATATATATATATATATATATATATATATATATAGTTTCAAATAAACAACAATATAAGAGAATGAGGTTTTTTTGTGTTTGCGTATATATTCAGCATGTATGCATTACTACAAATAGAATTTATAATATCAATTTTCATCTAAAAACTTTGATTAAATTGATATCTAATCCTAAAGCGGGTTTGCTTCATTATTTTTTTATAGTTTATAGTAAGAAAGAAAAAAATAAACAGTAAACATTCAAATATAAACTTATGCCACCATGAGTGTGCCACGTTTTCAGAATGTTTGATTTTTCAATCTGCCAAAAGTCCATTTCTCTTTAAAGATAAATTTCAATTGATTTTCCCCACAGGGTACAATTAGAGAAAGGATAATCGCGCAGTGGAAAGCCCATTGAAAACTGCCTACCTGTTACACCCTTCCTAATACTTTATCCCAATAGAAGAAAGAAAAGAAAAACGGTACCCTTTTCAGTGCCAAAATGCTTTTATTCGTAGACAATACACCAAACGAGTCTAGACCTCTCCCACAAAAAGAAAGGTGACAAATCTGCTTGAAATTTATGTTTTATGAAATCACAGACTTGATGGTAATAGTGTATTATCTAAAAGACAAACTCAATTTCTAAAAAAAAAAAAAATTAGATTCGTCATCTTGTTTTGTTAATCTTATTTGGATTATCTTGTAGATGAACTCTTGTCAGCAGGGATCAACTGCTGAATGCGTCAAGTCACAACTCCTATATCCGTAGACATTCGGCGAAATCCTGCTGGCTCAGATGTACCAGTAATGATCAAAATGCAAACAGTTGCATGCGTCCTTGAATCATGACAAGAGAAGAAAAATGATTTTCCAGTAGTGAAAATCGCCGATTTATCTCATTATTGAATTTATTCTTTAATTTAAAAAAATATCGTAAGTTGCAGTTGGAATAATCAATAATTCATTATGTATTGTGGTCCGATTGACGAAATAACTTTTTTCAATTAATTAATCTATGTGGTAGAGGAGCGGCGTATTTAGCCGAAGGTCGTGGGCTCGAATCCCGCTCGTGAGACAACTTTTTCATTTCAACCAATACTTTTCATAAAGATTAATTAATTGAATAATCAATAATTTTTTTTAGATAGATGATTTCATTATATGTCATTATAATTTTGAAACTTCATCATATTTATCATGGGTCAGATGACGAACGAAAGACAATGAAAATTTCTTATAATATTTTAAACACATTTACATGTTTTCCATCATTATCACTCTCTCTCTCTCTCTCTCTCTCTCTCTCTCTCTCTCTCTCTCTCTCCCATTCTCTCTCTCTCTCTCTCTCTCTCTATCTACCTATCTCTCTCACTCACTATTTTCTTTCTCTATGTTTATCTAGTTACGCATTTCAACCATCCTCTCCCTTTCTTTCCTTTACACATATCATATATACACTCGATTGTAGTGTGATAGATAACATTTCCAAGGCTTTGCTAAAGAAAAAATTGAATTTGAAAATTAATCGAATACATCATGTTAAATATAATATTTTAACGGATTTTGTGATAATTTAATTTCTGATAATGCATTTTATTGTTACAGATTAAATGCAGGACTATTTGTTTGCAAGACGGCACGTGCCGGAGGTTAATTTGGTGTTGGAATGAAAACCGGAATTGTTCGAAGAGGCGGAAATCGTGGATAAGATAAAAGGTAAGTTTTTCTCTTAACTCAAGGTAATCGCTAATTGTATTAAAATCTTGAAATGTTCCATCCTCGATCCATGCCAATGTATAACTTTGACATTTGTATAAGTGAGAACGGTCTACAGTTTCCTTTTGGTTTGATCATTCGTGACCAAGGTCCGCCGCGCTGGGTCTCACCGTTCTCTGATAAACGGGTCTCGGTTTTGTGAAATCATGACATCAACTTCTAAAGACGAAGGCGTGAAATCGCAACTCTTTGGAACACTGGAAGTCGAAAGGTTTTTTCGGAATCGGATCAACAACATGCGTCGAAATGAGTTGCTCCAGGAAAAATTACAAATTTATTTAATTTTGTAGTTTTTGACCAAACATGTTTTTAGATGGCATATTATCAATCGACCAAAAAAATAAATAAAAATAAAAATAAATAAATACATAAACATACGCCTTTGATATTTTTTTTAGCCTAGTTTCATATTTTTACCTACTTTTGGTAAAAATGATACAGAGCACCTTAAGCCCCGTTCAACTTCAAATTTGCAAGTACGACCCTATACATCCTCATACATCCTTTTAGAGGATTTTATTATGCTGCAAACAACGGTGCAATCAAATTGGACAAGAAATGACAAAGTTATGACAAAAAGAAACCGGCAGAGTAATTTCTACGAGGAGCTGAATATTTTCCTGTATGTTCGCGAAAATCTCAATTATTCTGTCGGAATTGGTCGAAGGGTTGTGCGTTTTTCAACAAATAAAATTAGAGATGTACTCCGTACTTATAATTTTAAGCCGTATCGCACTCATCTTTTTCACAGACTTTGGGACTCTGATTATGACAGGCGTCTAACGTTTCTCGCATAAATGTAAATTTGGGAGACTGAAGAAAATGTTCTTCCATAGATCCTATGAACTGATGAAACCAAGTTCACCTCTAATGATCGATCTAAACCGTTGGAATTTTCAAATGTGGGGAGAGGAAAATCCGAGAATTTCGTATTTTGTCATCATCGGGTGGTTCACAATATCAACATTTCGTGTGGACTTCTCGGAAATAAATTAATTGGTCTTATTACTACGGAAATAATTTAAACGGTGCTCAGTTCCTCATTTTTTGAGGGAGGTTTCACCTACACTATTAGATGATGTTCTTCTGCAACAACGACAAAGAATGATTCTCCAGCTTGATGGCTCCGCACACAATTTTTTGCTGGTGAGACGTTATTTGAATCGTCATCCGGGATAGGTGGATAGAACCTCATGGCCTGATCAGTTGGACACGATTTAACTCCACTTGACTATATTTTCTGTGGGGCCATTTATAAACAGTTTCTACGCCAATCATAACCCAGCAACTTCAGTTGAATAACTGCGATAAATGATAGAAAATGCTTGTAAATACCTACCTACCTTGACTCGAGCGCTCTGAGGACCGGTGAAGAGTGGTTAAAATGAGCAACTCTTTGCATCTTTAGGCAAGGCAAGCTGTTAGGGCATGAAGAGTAAGTAATAAGTAGCAAACCAAATGACTGCTTTTTTTCAAACCTTCTCCCATAAATTTGTCATTTTTTGCCAATTTAAAATCCAATTGCACCATTGTTTTCAGCGTAAAAGAGCCTTTAAAATGATGTTTCAGGATGTATAGAGTCGTACTTGAAATTCTGAAGTTGAACTGGTCCTGAATTACCCTGTATAATTCAGCCGGGACATCAACAATGGACACCCTGTATATTCAATTATACAAATTGTAAGATTTTTCGTTGGGGGGTCAGAACGTTGAACCGAGTTTTCCATCGTCCTGATCTGGCTTTGCTGGTTTGGCATTTAGTGTCATTTTCTTGAAGTCTGACAAACCAAAACAGTTAGGATATACAGGAAAAAGTTTGTCCAAATCGTCCAAACTATAATATTTAGTCTGTTAAAGCAACAGGCTGTACTTCCTCATTCACAACGAACAGGTGATATGCTCCCTTCAAGGGTTTAGTATTCTTTGTTGTTTGTTCTCTCTTTCGTACCCGTTCTTTTCCTTACGACAGGTACAGATTTGTGTTATTTGGGGCAGTGGTGATTTCCGACGCGCCTATGGCCAGGTAAGGGTGGAGCCCTCGTCAAACAACTGTTTAACCCCCTGGTCGTTCATCCCCCTACACCGCTCATTAGGGAAGCCGCAGGTCCTTGTCGACCAAAATGGGAAATCGTCGCTCAGAAGCAGATGGGCTGGCTATAGATTATTTTTTTGTTCCTCAACAAATCTAGATTTTATAATCGTAATTCCTTGTTAATAAACATAATTATTACAATTCCAGATCTATCTCTTTAGTAAAAATTTGCAATGTATTTATTATTTATTTCTTATATTTTTAAGCAAGAAATTGACAAGGATGTAACAACTAGCGCAACTAATAAAAGTTAGATTTACTTTATTTTTTTGGGGAGACAAACATGTCCTATATTTGTAATTTATTACATTGGACATTTTGTCACTCTCGTATTTTGGACGATTTAACCGTTCCAATTTATTTCCAGAAGAATTAATCGTTACCGTCTCATTAGTCATTTTAATAGTTAATACATAAAAAGAAACTAGACTTTATAATTAACTCTCCTTGCTTACATATATTTTGTTTTTCGTTTTCCCATTTGTATTTTAGTTAGTTTGGTGCATTGTGTCTTATCAAACAGGATATTGAAAAGTATGTAATAATTAACATAAATTAGAGATAATTGTTTTTCTGTTGTTTTCGCTTGTCAAATTTATTAAATTGTGAAAATTTACAATAAACACTATTTCTTCTAATACACATTCATTTAAGAAAATGTCTAAATATTATATTATGTATAAAAATATTCATTATTTATTTAATCTGAACATTTCTTTACTTCTTAGCATGGAGGAATGAACTGAAAAGCTTTGCTTATATTCAGAGAGTTATCATCTCATTACTTATTTCACAAGTAAAACCCTCAACGAAAATAGACTTTATCATCCTTATTGTTCATGGTAATAAACAAAAAGTAACAATCATAAAAACAAAAATTAAGTTGAGAAGGCTTTACTAAACAGTTTTTGAATTAAAAATGAAGAAATAATCAAAATAAATTCTTCTCAAAAAACAATCAAAACTTTTCACTAATTTTTCGTTGAAAGTAATAGGAATATTTTATTCATTAAAATGAATAATCGAACGTTTTATTTGAAAAACGAAATATTCTTTTGCAATTACAAAGCGAAGCTAAAGAAGATCAATTCAATGTTCAAACAAAAATAATTTAACTTTTTAATTGTCAACTATTTTCGTAAATATAGTCTGAGTAAAAAAACTGAAAATTTTTTTTTTAAAAACGAAGAGAATCAAATAATCATAATCTCTACTAGTTGTAAATTTTTTCATTACAGAACTGCCTCAAAACCAGTCAAAATTTTTAATAAAAATATAAAATCTTTATTATTGTTTGAGTAAAATGTTATATTTTAATACAAATGTGTGGCGTATGGTTTAGAAATTAACAATTAAATGATTGAATATTGAGTTGATAAATTATTTGTCATATTTAATCGTTATTTAATTTTATAATTTAGGAGAAGTAGTGTCTAGGTTGTTGCCAGTCAGCTATATGATATTTATCTGTTACCTTTGGGCCTATATTTGACATGCCTCAGTGCTAAGATACAGGGTGATTATTTACAAACTACTCCCCCTTTTATTTTATTTTTGTTTGGAACTAAATCAAAAAAATAGGACTGATCATTACATAATTTTTACGCAGAATCTGAATCTGAAGTCAAAACTATTTTTCGACGTACGGTACCTGGGCTCAGAAACTTTTTTTTTTTTCAAATGGGAAAGTATCATTTTGAATACGGAATTAAATTCTACGACCTTTTTACAAAGATTTTACTTCGGACACGTTTGTTGTGGAGTTTGTCGTTTAAGAGTTATTAAGGTTTGAAAAAAAAGTTCAAATTTTCTTTATCTAAATCTTCATTCATTTACCTCTTAGTAGCTTTTTTGAGGTAACTTTTTTTAAAAATTGGTTAATTGAATCGTCACAAATGCCGATATTGGGATAATTCTAATCATCATGCAATGAGGCAATCACAACCCTGACAAACTAAACGTCGCGTTGGCGGGGGTTGCAATGTCGAGAGACGTGGTTGAGAAGTCCTTCAACCTGATGATGAGCTAAAGGGCTCGAAATCCGGATCGTTACAAAACAACTTACTGTGAGTAGGAACTATCTTTTTAAAAGGATTGAACACCACATCTCACTCCATCATTTATCATTTCTAATCATTTCTCCTTCCTCAAATTTTTCCTCATTTTCATCCACCGAAGCGTCACACTCCTTACTTTGAGTAGGAGAAATTATTTGCCATCAAGATGGAGGGCCACCTCACTACACAAGAAATATGAGAAACTTTGTAGATATCCGTTTCCCTTCTAGATGGGTAGGAAGACGAGGTTTCATCGAGTAGCCAGCGGATTTCTAGATGTAACACCCTTAGTTTTTTTTTTTTGTGGAGCCACATTGATACAGTGGTGTACCGATCAAACAATCAGGAAGATTTAAAAGGAAGCATCAAATAATGTTGTAGAGGCACAGCACAAGATACTTTCCGTGAAATGCGAAATTAATTCCTCAATAAGATTTTACTTTGTATGGAGATCGGTGGTGCCCATTTTGAAAATTGAATTTGCTAGGATTAACTTAATAAATTTACTAGGAGGTAATTGAATTGGTAATTCACTTGAAGTTACTAGGAGGTAAATGAATGATGTTTGAAATAAACAAAATTTGAACGTTTTTTTTCAAACCTTAATAACTCTTGAAGGATAAACACTACAATAAATGTGCCCAAAGTAAAATCTTTTTAATAAGTCGTTGAATAAAATTCCGCATTCAAAATGATACCTTCTCATTTGAAAAAACCAAGTTGCTGAGCCCTGGATACGTACCTAACGTTGACAAAAAATTTGACTTCAAATTCAAATTCTACGTAAAGATCAGTCATATTTTGTTTAATTATTTCCAAACTAAAGAAATAAAAGTGGGGGGGCTAGTTTATAAATAATCATCCAGTGTAATGTTGATATGTTAATAAATACTGTATAACAATATTAAATTAATATATGCATAAAAATTCAAATGATTTGTAAATTAAATAAATATTTGTTAAAGCAGAAATAAATCACCAGCCAATGATAGGTTACTTACTCATCTTAAATTTAAAAATTTGCCTACAAATAATTATTCGGAGATTGTGAACACGTTCCTACAAATAATATCGGCATTTTAATTTTATTATTTATTTTTTGTTATTTTTATTTTTAATTGAGTGTTATAATATTAAACTTAAAGTTGAAAAGTTAGACATCGAATCAGAAGTGATTCAAAGAGCCGTTTTGACAAGAAGCCACCCGCCGACGACAGCAAAATGCTTTAAATTTCAAAATTTTAACGAGAGCGAGTTTTAAAGGTTTTTTTTAACAGGTAGTGATCTTTAAATGGATTTCTTCTAAACCTTTCCACTAAGGTACGGTAAATTTGAACTATTTTCCAAACCTTATCCTAGTACATCGTCTAATCCCTACTTATCCGTTTTTGAAGACAGTTTTTTCTAAAAGAATTTTCGTTTCAGGTCTGATCGCGTTCCTGGTAAAGATGACATGGGAACATGACATGGAAACGTTACGGGACTTCTTGGACCCCGGTGATTACATGGCGGGTGAGCAACCGCGGAGGTGTAAGATCGGTGAAAGCATTTCTCCAAAACATGAGGTGATTCACCGTTGAGAATAAAGGTAACACATTACGAATAAATGGTTTTAACCAGGTCTTTAGAGGTTTTATTAATTTTGATTGTTTTATTTGAACTTAACTTTACACGAGAACTCGTATCCAGCAAAGGATATGCAAGCCAGTTTATTTATCATCCTGATCCACTTGATATTTATGATATTTCTTTAGACTTTCCAAAATTTACATAATTTGAAGCATATTGGTAGAAGGTTACAGTGGAATATAACAGATGATTCCAAAACTATATATGTATTAAATATTAATTTTTTTAAACAAAATAATAGTGTCTAATTAATAAGCAATGAAAACTGACTCTCATTTTAATTATTTAATTATAAAAGAAACTTTAATGACGAAAGTCATGAAAAATGATAAACAATATTTGAAAACAGAAAGGAAATTATGCGCATAGGTATTTAGTAAAGTAATAACCACTTTTATTTATTTGTGTTGTACCAACTAATTTCATTTATTTGACCACAAATCAATAATACTATTAAACAATGCAATTAAAAACGTTTGCTTTCACAGTTTTAATGAAAATTGATTAAGCATAAAAAAACTTTAACTAACATTAAAGATGGTTAGATCTCTTTGATAATTAATTCCAGCAATGGTAATATTAAACATGTAATGGCAAACTTTTGAACGTCTCAGTAATTTTTGTTGATAAAATTGAATAAATATTTTATGTTCTGAAATCTCAATAATATTTACGAAACAAGTTTAATAAAAAGTAAGGAATAAAAACCCAAAAAATAATTTATGATTTTAATAAAAAATATATGAATCTTTGGTTAATAAAAATAAGCTTTATTGTAATCACTCAATTAGGTATTACATGGTCAACAAAACAAAATTTATGTTTTAAATTATGACACATTATAAATAGACAGCATAATAAAGTTATGAACCACCTTTTACAAGAAAAAATTATATTTTAATAATCTTAATATGTTAATAAATTATAACAAGCTACTGTGTTAAATTTTACATACGTCTACCTATTCAAAGAGAAAAGAAAACCAATTGAGAGAAAAGATTGGTTCTAGTTAATCACCAAAAAAATCATCGAACCGTTAATAAGTTTTATTTAAAAGGTATTTGTATATCACAGAGTTGAATTGAATCATAGTAAACCTATTCATTCCAAATTTTACTTTATGATAAAATTAAATCATTCAATAGTTGTACATAATCTAGTACATGATAATTATTCTCAATTTTGGCAATTTTAGATTATCTACATGTCTAGTATGATAATTAGTCAAAATTTTGGCAATTTTAGATTATACACATGCCTTGTATGATAATTATTCTCAATTTTGGCAATTTTAGATTAGATACATGCCTAGTATGATAATTAGTCTAAATTTTGGCAATTTTAGATTATCCACATGCCTTGTATGATAGTTATTCTCAATTTTGGCAATTTTAGATTATATACATGTCTAGTTTGATAATTAGTCTAAATTTTGGCAATTTTAGATTATCCACATGTGATAATTAGTCTAAATTTTGGCAATTTTAGATTATCCACATGCCTTGTATGATAGTTATTCTCAATTTTGGCAATTTTAGATTATATACATGCCTAGTATGATAATTAGTCTCAAAGTCTCAATTTTGGCAGTTTTAGATTATCTACATGTCTAGTATCATAATTATTTCGGTTGTTTGTTTAGGCAAAGTTTCTTGCATTTTCCTTCAAATCTAGACATGCATAAAAATAAGCAATTAAATATATAACGACTTCCTAGGGTAAGAATTTTACTATCATCCTTATATTTTATATCAGCTAAGATTATGACAGCGTTTCTTTGACTGCATGCTTCTTTAGACGAAGAAAAAAGCCTCGTAAAAAAAATCATAACGAATATCTAGATCAGTGGAAACAATCATAATAACAGCTAATATCCGACAACTTACTTCAAATCTTATTTTTGAAAATTTTGACTAATTATCAAGAAACAGATTGATGTACTTTATACCTTTATATCAGTGATACATTTGATTGTTCAAAATTATTTGTTGTAATCTTTATGGTCCATGGTTTTAAAGTTATCTTCATGGACGAAAATCATTTGTGAAGATTAAAATCAATTTAAAATCAGAAAAAAGTATTATTATAAAATACAATCTAATATCTATTGCTTAAAAAGAACTCGTCCAGACCAATTGGCACTCATTTATTGACAAAGCAAATATTACAAATATTAGTAAAGTTTAAATAAATCTAAACCTGGAAAGAAATGAAAAGTAAGACATTGAATAACTGACAATAACAAATAACAAATTTGCTCATATACTAAAAAAATAAATCGCGAAGGCGATTGGAAAGCAGATGTTTAAAATCACATAAAAATACTTTAAAATTAATTAAATTAACTATTTTTCGTGGTCCGCTTGACCAATTAATAACATTCAATTATCTCAACTTAAAAACCTTAATTAATTGAATTTAAAATTAATGTTTTGTAACAATTGTATTAACAATACATTCAATTGTCACTCTCAGAATGCATTGTTCCATGTAATATGCTCAACACGAAACCCAACTAGAACTAACTAATTGGCTAAATACGTGTGTAGTTAGATTGGTATTTGTCACATCTAGGTCTGCTAATTTCCACTGTTTACTGTTCACCTCCGTTGATTATCGATGAAGACAAATTTTACATAGTTATATAGCAAGTATAACTTGTTGAATTTTATACTAAAACGGTTATATTTTTAAAGGTGTTGCACTGTGATTTAACATTAAAAATATTTCTGTACGTAAAAAATTAGAATTAGATAGAAAAAAATGTGTTTGAACTTATTAAAACCATTTTAAAGCGATTTATAAATTTATAATTGAAAATTATTGATATTTTTTATGCTTCTGACCATTTAGACTGTTTGTTGACCATAATTTGGAATTAATTAATCTAGACGTGACTTTTAATTCTAATTTATTGGGCTGTTCAGACTTGATATCTGCATATTTTACCCGTCAGAGCAACAATGTTCACGATTATTTCTGCTCTTTGAACGTATGACAAGTATATTTTATAATCACAAACATTCTGAATCAAGTTTGATTTTGGAGAAAAACGCAAACTCAGATGTCACTGCCAAGCTTTCGACCTATTTTAAGGCCTTCATCAGGTCAAACCAATTTCGAATATGTCTACAGAATGACATATTTAATTTTTTTACAGGGAATCTCAAATTTCCTTGAAGACCGACATGCCCCAACATTGCCAACGACTGTAAGGTAGTCTTTTGTCTTTGGCAATATTGGGGCTATGATTGACCTGATGATGACCTTAAAATAGGTCGCAAGCTTTGCAGTAACATCTGAATTAGCTTTTTCCTCCAAGACCATACCTTGATCCAGGCAGTGAAAAAGTGGTCGATATTTTTAGTATTGAAAATATTTCATAATCTTAGCAACCAAAACGGCGTTCGTTCCAAAACATGGTTATGTTAGACGCGAAGTGGAAGAATTCCGGAACGAATCAGATATTTTCAATGTTATAAAAATTCAAGAGAAATTCTTATCCCTTGACATGAGCCGAGAAACGGGTCGATCTTTGAAAGGCTATTGTGTTCCCGGAACGCCGTTCCAAATGGTGTTTTATCTTCCAGGATAAGATACCCTTGGATTTTGTAAATTACTAACTATCCCTTTCCTTCGTTATTTTGTTTAGTTTTGAACAGATAAGACAGCCTCGAGCCGTCTGGGCCAAGGTCCTTGTCATAATTCTACTCGATGCTATCTTTGAGACAAATATGATCCACTAAAAGGCTTATAACGTATTTTATGGTCATTCTATATTGTCTGGGGTTTTTGTCGAACATTTTTCGGTTCTTGGGTTTACTCAAGAAAAGCAAGTGACGCAATTAACCTGGGATAATTCCTGGTTAGGTCCATTCTAAAGTAATAGTTACTTTCATTGACAATTTTAAATAGTACATAATAGCATAGATGTGAAAGTACTATTCCCTTTCTAATCGCCCCTAAACTTCCAGGAAAAGGAAAATTTCCGAAACTGCCCAAGTTAAAACAATACATATAATTGAATATGAATTTAATGTCAGCGCTGTGATTAATGATGTTTCGCTCAATTTGAACCCCTTAACTGATTATTAGCAAATATGTTGAGATATATTTAATACATACTAAATAATGCGATTTTTTTTCAAACAACAACCTTTAAGGTTCATATAACCTCATAGTTGGAATATTTCGTTTAAAAAAAACCTATCTATTGTAAATGACTAAATAAAACTTTCACTAGCATTTACTAACAAAATGAAAGAAATAATAATATTTCCTTTAAAAAAACAGTAAAAATGGAATCTTACCAATATTTTAAGTAAACACAATCTAGCCAGCATATTGCAAATCGATTTAGACATATGGGAGTCTTTAGTAAATAGTAAACTTTTTTCGTTCAAAAATTTGGACCATATATCTAGAAGGTTCCTTGTTACAGATTTTTCGACTTGATACATTATGTATTTACCTATTGTTTTAATAACTCATTTGTACTATTATGTATAATCAAAATTACATAAATCACAGGATCCAATGTTCTATGAGTTTTTAAAAGCAAAAATCGAGAACTATTTTGAGTTTGTTGTTGGTACTGATAAATCTAAAAGCTAAATACATGGAAATTAATTAAATGTAGTTCAATACTTTTGTCCTAATTAAAAAGCAAAATACATGCAACGGCCTTTTCTTTAACATATAGATATGATTGGTCCTTACAGATCATTTTGAACTATCTTATCCATGCTGGGTTCTTCTGTCAGACGCGTTTTGACATTATGTAGGTTCTTAGCACCTAATGTGTCTAAGAGCACTTTAATGTTAAACTTAACATAATCAATGGAAAACTCAATTTTCTTTCCTTTCTTAAAAATAAACACAAGTGTCCGGCAATGACTGGTAAGGACAAATTTCAGGTTCATTCACCTCACAGACAACAAGAAAAATCTAACAATTCAAATATAGATTTCTTCCTAAATACCTTCTTCCAAATTGTGTTATGTAACATCAATTATCAATAATTATTTATAAAAGTACGAATGAGAAATTACCACAATCAAATGCCCTCAATACTCCATCCTGTCCATACTTTGAAAATTTCATGTTTCATGTTTAAAACTTAGTTTGAAATAATATTTATTCATTAGTTTATACACTCATGATTCATTGTGTAACCTTCATGATTGTAATTGGGAGTTGATGTTAACAATTAAAAGTACTATGTTAACATTGTGCAGCCTTCCTTGTTTAAAATGTTTTACAAGTGTTTAAAAAGCGCTCAATATTATATTTTAGTATATATACGTCATTTCAGTTTAATAGTATTGTTGTTCTAATATCTTTAAAGGTTTTTTGTTAATACTGATATAATATAATTGAAAATTTAATTTAATTAAAAAAATTAAGGTTTAAATTTATTTTAATTTATGTGTGTACATTTTTCACTCACGAACACTGTAGATCAAGGTATGGTTTTGGAGACGAAAGCAAATTCAGCTTTCGACTTATTTTAAAGTAATCATCAGGGCAAAACAATCTTAAATAAGTCTACAAATTGAAAAATTTAAGATTTTACAGGCTATCTCAAAATTTTTTAAATACCGACTCAACCAAAAAACCCCTTGAAAACATCAATTTTTTAATATGTAGACATATTTAAGATTGTTTTGCCCTGATGATGACCTTAAGATACATAGTCGAAAGCTTAGCAGTAACAACTGAATTTGCTTTCTTCTTCAAGAAAATGTGGTTGATATTTCTAATAATGACAACATATATTTCATACAGTCTGTAAGCTGGTGCTTTTTTTTTTTGCAGTGTGACAATATTTCATCAAAACAAGTAAAAGTAATGAAAAATAAACGATACAATTACATTCATTCATCATTTTGAAATAAAACTAAACTGTTATAAAAAATTACATTGAGGCATGACATTTGACAGTCTGAATTGGCCTTATCCAATATGATAGTATGTGATCTTCTTTTTATTTCACATTGTAGACATATAATGATTCAGTTTCCCCATTCTAATACATTTATCATTTATTTGCTAAAAACATTTTGATTAAAGTACTTAAAAAGTAAATCTCTTAATATTGGGCATACCGCATAAAATGGAAAGTGTCTTCGACCTCATTTAAATTACATTAAGTGCCATTGTGCTGTTCTTGTTTTCTGCATGGGGAGAAATTGAGAGGCAGAAGGTCAGAAGTTCCTCTCTTTTCATTCACTATTACATTTGTGAAGTGGTTGCTATTGTAAACTAGGCACCTATTTATTTATTTATTTGTTTATTTATTAATTTTAGTGATAAATTGTAAGATAGGTACACAGTTGACTAATTAAGTAAGAAAGGTTAATAGTTTTTTTTTAGATTTTTAAAATTCGGGCTGTTTACTCCTTATTTATTAAGGCTTTAATACATTATAGGTAGTATAGTCAATATGTTAATTATCAAAGGAGTAACTAGCAAGGTGAGACCTTTTAGAATAGGAATCAGCAAGAAATGCAAGAATTTACCCTTACCTTCCTTGGGCCTCCTCCCCTCACAGGGCGAGACCGAAGTAAGGCGTTAAGTACCCCAGGACCCAAAATTAGAAGTAAAACTAGATTAGAGGCCGAGGTCCCCTGGTATGGGTGGAAGGATTAAAAAAAAAATTGTGAAGTAGTGTTTATTGTCATTATTCTTACACTTATGGGTCACACTGAAGGACAATTTTTTTTTTATTTCAACTTTTACCTCGAGGTTATTTGAACGCTCGGTGTGCCGGTTTTTCAAAGAGCCCATTTGTAAGTATGTCGGGTTTGAATGCAGGGCCGCTGGATTCGAACCCGGGACCTTTACCTTACAGTGATAAGCGCCTAAACCTTGCAGAACCAACGCCCCCGGACAATTCATTATAAAGTGTATGAAATTTTGTCAGTTTTCTTTCATTTAATAAGTTTACTTTGAATTCTGTCATTATCTTTTCAAACAGTAAATCATTTTTTGCATCAGTTCCATTGTCCTTTATAAATAATTATAATTATTTTACAAGTTTAATGGTTTTAAACTATTTCAAATGATTAATAGTTAATTTAAACGTTTGAGTTTATTTAGTTAATGATGTTCTTCTCCTACTCAATATCATTGAAATTTATTATTAATTCTATTTAATTAAATTAGCGACTTGCTTATTAAATTAGTCGTTAATTGTTTGGTTAAAACTTCCATTCCTTGTTCCATTCTTCATTTAACTTCATTTTACCCCGGTTTCAGCTTGAAAAAGCTCAGGCCTGCCGTTCTAAGGAATGCCTTTTGAAAGACAACAAAAGCGAGCTGTCGTCAAAAAGGAAAAGCTACATCTGCCCCATCTTCGAGAGTGGCCATTTTGGAAGAAAAGCAAAACACCACGTATTGCAAATACTGTCAGGTGAGTTAATTTAATTCAAAGGTTTTAGATTTTTCCTTGTTTTGCTCTATATAAATATATATGTTACATATATTGCAAATTGTTTGAAAATTGTAGCTATTGTATGTAATTTTTAAATTTTTTTTATTGAATATCTGACCATTTGTCAATCAGAAATTTTCAAGTGATTACTGAAGTAAATCATTTCCAAAATGTTCCCAAAAGTTTTGTAATTCCCTCTGTAACAAATTTATTGGAATTAATTGATTGTTACAATATCGACGCAATTTGTTTACGGTTTCAATATTGTCATCAAGCATTGTCTAGATAAACATGTTGGATACTCAAAAGTCCTACTGATGATTAACTATTTTTTCGCCATAGTTAGAATGTCTATTTTGTAATTTAAACTAAATGATAAATTTAATCAAGATTTGTTCACGAGTAGTAATGTTGATCAATTATAGGAAGTAAATGAAATTATTTTCTCCTATAAGACCTTCACTGTTCAATTTACATTTGAAGTAAATGATGATGTACAATGCAGTCACATATATTTTTTATATTATTTTTATTATTATTACATATTATTTTTTGTATTACTTTCTTTAACTTGAAATGAAACCAACTTTGTTCGTGTAGTAGTATGGATTGAATCCTGAAAGCTGCAAAATGAAATGATTTTTAGATACGAAATTATGTGCTGACTCTTTTAAAACTGTTTTATCCCGATTCCAGTACTTTAAAACTATAAAAATGTGGCCCGTTTATTCTAGATTTTTACAACAATTTGTTTGATTTGGTAACCGTGTGGGAACGATGCTGGCAAAAAAGAAAATTACATTTAAAATTTCCTTTATCACAAATTAAGTGGAAAGACAAAAAGAAAGAAGAACTACATATAATATATATCATGGACATATTTTTTTATATAATAATATTTTGAATTTCAAATATTTTCTATGGGCAGGAATAAGGTTAACTCTAGAATATGGTCGAAACATAGGTTAGTATTGCCTGCTTGGTTGTAGGCCTGTACTAAGAATTTAACAATTGTTTGTTAGTTGGTTTTAAACTTAATCGTTTATCAAATGTTAGGAATAAAGTAATACTTCTTTCAGAAGTACGTTTCGGTTTTCGACATGTTCCACTTTGGCGTTCCGTCCCTGCCTTCTTTCTCCACTCTCTCCTCGACCCGTCGATCTTCGTACGAGCTGTGCATTCTCAGCCATTTTTCTTTATTCTCGGTTTCAACAACAAGTCGTTTGCAACAATTATTTTCTTTGCCATAAATTAAATGGAAAAACAAAAGAATCCTGTTGCACCAATGATGCGTTTCCAGAAAAAAAAGCGGTTCTGAAATTATTCGCGTTCTGATCCTCAGCCTTTAACTTGGAGTTCAACAATAGTGAGATATTTACCTTTTGAAAACATAGTTCTACTCACAAACTAGGACCCCTAATCTAACAAATTTTCTGAATTTAAGAAACATTCAATTGAATAATCTAATTAGGTTTTAATTTAAATTTAAACACAACATTGTTACACAGTTTGAACAAAGGAACAGAACTGGATTGATTTGAAAAAATTGAAACTAAAAAATGTATAATTAAACATGGAGATAAATGCACAGTCTCTGAGTAGAACTATCTTTTCCAAAAAGTGAATCGACATACTAACTCTTCCTCGAATTATTTCTATTGAGAGAAAATATACTTTACCAGTTGCATCGCTAAAAAGTACAAGTGTGAACAGGATTCGTGAAATGTTGAAGTGAGTGAGATGAAGAACTTTAATTTTAATTACATAATAAAATTTAAGGCCCTTAACCGCCTATTCTGTAATATAGGTTTCTGTGCTTTGCAATATTTTCTGAAAGAAATATGCTATTTTGTCAAAACTGTTATAAGATTCATACCAAGAACTTAGATTTCAAGTCACACAAATTATCAAATAAAATGATTATCACCACTGAGGAGGAGGCTTTCTTTCGTCATTTGTAATTTCTGACAATAATTTACATGTTTATTTACATTCATTAATATTTACTTTTTACGAAAAATTTATTGTATAAATTCTTGGACAAAAAATGTGAATTTTGTAAACATCTAATTGACCGAAAATATAAGCATTGCACACGTCATAAATCTATTGAATTAGTAATATATAATAACTAATTAAATTTGTTGACTTATGCACGGCCGTGAGACACGTGCAGCAGGCATAGATTGGTGTTCAAATATCTCAGAGACATAAATATTTTTTTTGATAATAGATGTTAGTCTCTTTTTCGTATGTGATGTTTTTTATTGTAACGAATCTATGAAAGGGATTATTCCTCAAAATTCCCCGATGAATGTTGAGTAATGTGGGATAGTGCAAAAAATGTGTGAATGCATTTATTAGCGTGATATGTGTTATTTATTAGAACGAATGAATGGAAAGGCATAATCCTTTTAAAAAAGATAGTTCCTACTCACAGTAAGTTGTTTTCCAACGATCCGGATTTCGAGCTTTTTGCTCATCATCAGGTTGAAGATGTTCTACAATGATGAGCAAAATGCTCAAAATCCGGATAGTTGGAAAACAACTTATTGTGAGTAAGAACTATCTTTTTTAAAAGGATTGAACACCGAACTCCACCATACATCATTTGTATGGAAGGGCTTATCCTCAGTTATCCCAAGGAATATCGAGTCCTCTTGGTTTTTTCGAATGCTAACCCGACTATCATGTTTTTCTCTTGTTTCTGTGTATTCGTGTTATTTTATCAACAATTGACAAGGCCCTGGGATTTGGAGAGGCTAACAATAGACTAAAGAAAAACGAGGATTGAATCATAAAATATTATAACTTGGTTGGAAAATCAGTAAAAGAAATTAGCTTACAAAAGTGTTAGGTGGAAAATCTCTATTAAAACAAATTTGCCGATAATTAAGCTCTCATATTTCATTGTGAGAATGAACTTGGCGCTTCTGATTATGTCGGTCTGCCAGACGTGTTGAAGCTTTGAAGAAGTTTGTTTTACCTTCACAACTGAATATGATGAAAAACGAAAATATCTCAAAAACAGAACGACAATAGACGTCCTACAAAAATAAAATGAATAGACCACAAAAGTACTTATATTTTCAGTTAGCTAAATGATCAAAGATGCTATCTTGCTGTTATTTCTCTTTTCATCATATTTACTCAGACAATTTATATCATAAAATACAATTTGCCATTTGAGAAAGTTTTTATTCGATCTTTTACCATAAAACATAAATAAATTTGATAAGTGTACAAGCAATTAATCTCATGGTGAGAAATTGTTGTGCTTTAAAGCTTGCTCAAATTCTATCTTCATGGTGGTTTGTCTGTTTTATCTGTACAATGCCCAGAATTCCAGTTTTATCGTAAAGTTAGTGGGAGACAAAAATGATTCAAAATAGTTCGTGCATATTTGTCTTAACAAGCGAAATGTTAACCAACTTACATAACCGCCTAATAATTAAATAAGAATAGAAAACAAAACCCTACAATATCACCTAGAAAAGAAAACGGGGGAGAAATATCAAAAGAATTCCATTCGTTAACCATCCGATCTAGGGATTTCGAATGATACCATTCCCGGATGAGTAGTGTCATTATCCCGTTGGTAGGATTCTTGTTCGTCTGTCACTTGAAGACGGGTTGGGGCAGTGCAAGGATGGTTATTCACCGTTGAAGGGGAAAACGTCCCTCGAGGCTTGAGAGTTCACTGACTCGCTCCTCATCCGCGTTCTCGCCCAAAGATGTATTTTTAAACGTGTTAACTGAGGAGAGTCGGCCTCCCAAATACAAGAGTTCATAGACCTTGGAGTTAGTTGTCTAGTTTTCCTTCTTCCTCTTCCTACTTCCATACAAAAAATTCCATATTATCTTTTAAAAATTTAAAGAATAATTAGTAAAAAAAAAAAGATTTTTTTTCTCTACGAAATTTTTCAAATAAATGACTATGCAGAACAATTCCACGTCACACAAGAATTTACGAATTATTATAATGTCCGATTAATGAAATAATGTTTTTCATTTTGACAAAAATATAAATATTATATCCTAATGATTCAGGGGAGGCCAGTTAGAAAGAAAGGTAATACTAAGGTTTTCTACAAGCTCTCAAGAGTCAGGACATTGAAATGATTTTCATGGCTAAAAAATATAAGCATATCCTAACAAAAGTTATGGCTACAACCATAGTGAATTTATGGACTTAACTTAGTACAGTGGAGGAAATCTATCATCTCTAGGGATGTTTATATTTTTTAACCGTCTAAATAATTAGAAAGTCCTGATGAAGGGATGATATATTCTTCAAAAGCTTGACAATGAAACTGAGTGTTTTGTTTCTTTCAAATTTTCCTTATCCTTGATTTTTTATATACATTTATAGTATTAAGGCTGATACCATGTTTACAATTTTTTAACCGTGTAAATAATTAGAAAGTCCTGATGAAGGGGATATATTCTTCGAAAGCTTGACAAAGAAACTGAATGTTTTGTTTATTTCAAATTTTTGTTATCGTTGAGTTTTATATATATTTATAACATTAAGGCTGATACCATGTTTTTATTTTAACCGTGTAAATAATTAGGAAGCCCTAATGAAGAGGATATATTTTTCGGAATATTGACAAAGAAACTAAGTGTTTTGGTTCTTTCAAGTTTTCCTTATCGTTGAGTTTTTATATACATTTATAATATTAAGGCTGATACCATGTTTTTATTTTTTAACCGTGTAAATAATTAGGAAGCCCTGATGAAGGGGATATATTTTTCGAAAGATTGACAAAGAAACTGAGTGTTTTGTTTCTTTCACATTTTCCTTATCGTTGAGTTTTTATATATATTTATAATGTTAAGGCTGATACCATGTTTTTATTTTTTAAACGTGTAAATAATTAGGAAGCCCTGATGAAGGGGATATATTTTTCGAAAGATTGACAAAGAAACTGAGTGTTTTGGTTCTTTCAAGTTTTCCTTTTCCTTTAGTTTTTATATATATTTATGTGTCAATCACACTTAAATAAACCAATTGCGTATGTCGCCCATTGGATGAACTTATAATAAAAATACAGTAACTCAAGTCCGTATTGCTCAAAGTCTTATTCTCAATTGTATTTCAGATATTCAACTTTTTAAGTTAATTTTACCATTCACCCATTCGTTACATTAAATGCAAGGTATACAATAAAATATTAATCCTGCTGTAAATTTATTACACCAATAGAAAAGTAACCTCCAAAAAAGCAAAAATATATAATATATTTTTGATTATTTAAGACACTTTCATTTTTCTGCTCATTAAGAGTAATATTTTTTATTTTTTTATTTATTTATTTATTTAGTACAGTTGTATGTATAAATTTATGTTGTGGTTTTAGGCAATATTCCTAAACGAAACTATGTGGATCCAGAATTCCCCCGTGTCAGAGAGAGCAGGCAAAAGGATCTGCATTTCTAATAACAATTAGTATGACAAAAGAGAATTAGTTTTAATAACAAATACTTTATCTAACAAATTTTTTGGTATTCAGGTTAATCCAAATATTTGTTTATATATATAATTCTTTTGTATTTAAATATCTTTTGTTTTACAGCCTTTTAAACACCCGAAGCGAAACAAAATTGACCTAACACCCACAATTGATGGAAAGGTCGTCTTTATAAATTATAAAGAGATGACAGCCAGGAAACAATGAATACTTGCATGATGATGAAGGACGATTCAAGACCCAGGAAATGCTCAGCATCACTTTCCGTGAGTTAAGACAGAGGATGATCTTAGAACAAAGATTCACCAAAAAGCGTTTTAACAAAAGTAGTATTTTATTTTGTATTAAATATTTTTTTATTCATTTTGAGTAAAAATACAATTTTTTAACAATAAAACGTGGTAGGGCATAAATATAGTAATGCATAAATATGAGCAGAAATATGAGATGTATAAAGTAAACAAAACGTTGAAGATTGTGTGAAAATCGGTTGGTTTATCAGCAAATATGCAATATTTATTTTGTAAAAATAAACATCGATTTACCCCAAACGGTATATTTCAAAACATTATCTCACATCTTGTTAGGAATCAATCATTATTTGATCTAGAACGCTGTGAAGAAGTGGAAAAAGTCTGGTGCTGGCCTCTCGCAAATCGCGATCCATGTGCTCGGACGATATCGAAAGAAATAACGGTTTCTCATGCTTAGGAGCTTACAATTTGCACAAAACTAATAAGCTACGTGCTTCTCTGACCCATGGGCCGTCTAGATGGAAAGAAATGCATATTTCGCGGGGAGGCTCAATTATCTCTCACGGTCGGCAACGATTTGGGAATCCGGTCGTAAGACGACGTCCGAGTTCAACGACACCCCCATACCCGGCCGTATGTTGTAAAATGTTTGCGATTTCCATTTAAACGTATGTTAATGACGCGGTTTATAAGATATACTGTGGCGGTTTTACATATATCCAGTCATGAGGCGATGAGGTAATCGAATGGAAATATTTTTCGAATGCTTAAAGCATTGATAAAGCAAATTCTCCCTGGTTTTATCGTTTGCCATGTAACAAATCAGTGTACATTCTTTCAAAATTGTAAGACACTGGCGGATGAGTAGTAAATAAAATAATTCCTGCATTACGGGGAGATTTAATGTCTAACTACCCGTTTTTTGCGGGCGAGGGGTCAAATTTGCAATATTTTTTCGTATTATGATCAATTAAAAAGCCATGGGCTATTCCTAGATTCGAACCCGAGCGTGGCTAATTACCTCGGACCCTCTAACCACTTTGCCACCGCAGTCCTCCTTGCAGTAGATCATCCAAAGAGAAACGGCCATTTTATGTTTCTCATATTAATTACTATTTCGTAACAAACAGAAAAATTCGTACCATTAAACATTATTTACGAACAAGTACGCAGATGGATATGAACATAAAAAAATGTCTACTGCTTTCAGCACTCCGTTCTATAGAAACTTAGACGTTGGACGTAATAAAAAAATCCATAAAATTAGACAACAATCTATGAAGAGGGCTATAAATGCTCTATGCTTAACGGAAACGTAAAATATGAACGCAATCAAACAAAGTGATAGTAAGCTGTAGAAAAAAAGAGGGGTTTTTAACCGCAACGTAAGCTCTAAAATCTAAAAAAAATGATACAATTAACAATAACCATAAATATTGGCTGTTATCACTAAATGAATTAGCATTTATTTAAACTTTGATATGAAATTACATGATAACATCGCTTTATTGTTATTCTTGAATTAAAATAATAATGGGGTTAATTTGTGTTTAAAATTGATATATTTTCTTTTTGTCCTACTAATCAATTGTATTTTTCTTAAATGACATTGTAAATTAGGTGCTATCTTCAATTTTTATATTAAAAAAACTGTAATAAATGTTTTGCGAGCGCTTGGATATGTTCCATTCCTCTATTTTGCGCATGCAACACCTACTTATAAAAATATAAAATGCGTTTAATCATAATAATCTGAGAGGTATGACATTTCAGTTCCAAGAATGCATTAGAGTATGTACAGATGTAAGCAAAAAATATTTTCAAATGTTAGAATTGTTCCATCCCAACTTTTGGCTGAGATAATGTAAAAGCTGTGAAGTGTGACAGGAGGTTAATCAAAGAAATCTTATAAATATGTACAGGGTGGTTAGTTATGACATGCTATAAAAGAGTTGCTAGTGAGTTGACAGTAGAATGTAAATGAAGTAGCAGACAGCAAAATGTGTTTTTTAAGATTACTCTGACGAGTAGATATGATTTTTACATATTTTTCGTTAAAAACAGACTTTTCTTTATTATCTAAAGATTTTATTAAAAATTCAAATTTAATTATTTTCTAAATGGATGGTGTTTTAAGCATTTAACTATAGGTGTGAAAAACATGGAGGACGGAGAATTTTACGAAAATAGCCTTATTCAATAAAGAGTTGGTTGGCATGCTTGTCAGGATCGGTGGTTCTTTTTTCAAGTATGGTATAACACACTCCCAAAACTTCTCTTATTTACATTTATTTGATATTTTCAACTACAAACATAGTATTAAGTAAATATGCTCATATATGCTGAATTTGTCATTTGAGTCTTGTTGGAGAAGTTGCCCAGTGTAACTTTTGCTTCAATCGCCTTGGAGCATTTCCGGGTACGGGTGGGAATAACTATCAGAATTTAGTGTGTATATTCCGTGATTGATTTAATTTTTTTATAGCCGGTTTTGATGAATTAATTTCGCTATGAATAGTGTAAGTTGGAACAAAGGAAAGAGCATTTACAATTTGACGGAGAATTTTAGATAGGATTGATTGAAGAATTTGGGAATTGGAATCCTTGGTTGAGCACCACACTTGACAACCGTATGCCCAAAGGGGTCTTATCAATGTTTTGTAAATTAAAAGTGTGTTTTCAATGTCTAATTTCGATCGTGAGTCAAATCTATTTAATAATTTATGAAGTCGGTTTATTTGTTTATTTTTAGTTATGTGTGTGGATTCCAAGTCAGTCGTCGGTCGTTTATCCATGGAAAGTCTAAGATAACTCACAAGAGCAGTGGTAGGCAATGGTGTCCTATTTATTCTCACTGCAGGGTAGATATTTTTGCGTAAGGTAAAATTTATTGGTACCCTTTTCGTTAATGTATGTGTTAAAATGTTAAAATGTATAGGCATATCTGCAATGTATTTTAAAAATAGAAATGGGCCACATATTCTTCCTTGAGGAACAACGTCGTAATGCGTATATATGGTGAGAGGTCCCTGATGGACGCAGCAATCGGTCCGTCAGATAAGATCTCAGTACTAGAAGTACGTATGAGGGAGGCTGTTCTTCAGTTCTTCAACAAAAGCCTATTGAAAAAATCAATGCTTTAAACGGAGAGAAAGGTTTAGTTCGAATTGATGGCAAAATATTTTATTACATGAAAAACTGAATACTCAAGATAAAAATAAAATAGAAAAATTCACTGAGCCAAATAAGTTCAAATTATTTTACGAGTTGTCTCTTCCTCACTTTCATTGTCTGTTGTAAAGGTAACAATTCTTGCAGATTTTATACTGCATTGAAATAGTAAGGCTGGCAGTCTACAAGTAAATTATTTTACCGCTGTTTTCATTCGTTAAGTCAATCTTCATTTTTTTTTAATTGTTAGAATTAATTTTTCTTTTAATAAAACAATTCTGACATCAAATTGAATCAAAGCAGTGGTAGTTAGCTTCAAATCATGATTTTCCCTTATTGTTATATTCCCTTGATGATTTGTATGAAATTCGCCTATTTATTTAGAGTTTTGTCACAGCATAGTGAATTTTTGAAATTTGGCAAAGATTTTATAATATTTAAATTTTATAGATTTTTATCAGTGAAACGGCTATCAGTTCACTGAAAGGGCTCGTTTCTGACTAGTTGATTTTTTGGAGAATTTCAAATTCATACGTAAAAACAATTGTAATTTCGAGTTTTTGGGGGTTTGCTATTTTTTACTTTTACAATTGACGTTGAATATACAATTTTGCACGCAATATCTTTTTTACACGGGCACAATTTTGTAAAAATATGGAACTATTAAGCTATTTTGGACCATTGTCACTGATCTGCGACTTGAAGGAAAAGGAATCCTGAGCGTCTAATTTACTCAAAGTCGGGGTTTTCCTAAGGGTTAGTGCTCTAATTTCTCATCGATTTGTAATCTTACTTTCGTTTGTCTGTAAAATACGAGAAAGGGATATCTTGAAATAGCATTCAATAAATTATCAAACAGGTAGGCTGTGTCTGCTTTTTTTTTTATTTTCCTAAATTCACTTTTTAGGTCCGACATACAAATTTTGGTCACCTGTTTCGATGGTGGGTTTGTTCTTCAAACCCTAAGTACATCTTTTACAGACCTCAAAAAGAAATATCACGGAAAATCTTGTATCTATGGCTTCAGAAAACGATGATTTTTTAGGAAAAAAATTGTAAAGAAGACCTCTGAAGTTAATTTACATATTGGCTACCTCCTGATCGCAAGTGCACTATAAGCTTACCAAGAATTAAAAAAGAAACATAAATGATAAATGGTGGAGTGAGTTGTTCAATCCTTTTTTAAAAAGATAGTTCCTACTCACAGTAAGTCGTTTTGCAACGATCCGGATTTCGAGCCTTTTAGCTCATCATCAGGTTGAAGGACTCCTACAACCACGTCTCTCGACATGTATTGCCAAAGTGAACCCGCTGATACCTCCGCCAACGCGACGTTCCAATTAGCAGCTGATTTTTTTAATGGCGCTCAATGTGAACGTGCGAAACGCGGAAATTATAACACAAATATATATTATACTAGTAAATACTTAATATTATTAAATTACTATAAAAATAATAACAATTAAAATAATTAGTTTAATTATTTGGATGTTTGATATTATTTATGTACATATTTAAAATGGGAGGTAGATCAAAATCTGTTATATTATTAATGCAGTTATCACCATGTTCAATTTTACATTTTTTAATTTCAAATTTCTTAAACCAATCTAGTTCTTTCCCTTTGTTGAAACTATGTAACACTGGTATTTAGATTTGAATTGATATTATGTTTTGTTTCTTTTAGATGGTCCTTAAATTCCAAAAATTTGCTCGATTTAGGCAAGAGTTCTTTTAATTTAAAAAATAAATGGTACAAAGGCTAAAAAACAATTATATTGGCTTGATCATTCGAAATTAGCCAAAATATCTGTAAGTCAATTCTATATAACGCTCTTGCT